GCTGTATTAAAACCATCAGAAATAACTGAAATTGAAATAAATTATGTTGTCCTGAATTTTTTTAATATCAAATTCTACTATCGCCTGAGAATACACACACTCATCAGATGTTTCTTGCAGGGCTCCTGATTCTGACAAATTTATAATTTTTCCAGTTTCTAGGAACTGATGGCAGTGTTTTGGCCCACAAATCATCAAACTACTGAATTTATTCAGTTATGCAACTTTCTGCCTAGTGAAACCAACACTTGAGGAAAAAAAAAAAAAGTCATACTTTATCAAATTTGGTCCCACATGGATTATTCTGCCCGACATATCTGGATGGAAATATATCCAATCAGGTTCCAGTGAACAGCATTTCATATCTTGTATGCCATTTTTTGCCTGAAGAAGGAAGGGAAAGTTTAGAATATTAATATACTTAAAGATTCACAGACCTCTGAAGGTTTATAAATATTATTCTGATAAATATGACCAGAAAAAAAGGCAGAAGAACAAAGTAACAAATAAATAAATGAGTAGAGACTCCAACAATTCTAATTTTCAAGGATACTCCATGGAACTGTTTCAATGTTTCTTTTAATTTGCAATAAACACTCACTTTGTACCATGACTGTGTGCCTCTTGACATGACATGTGCAGCCTCTTCTAAAACTATGCAAAACGAAATGAAACCTACATTCTGCAAACCCTGGAACAATTCTAGTAATCTGAGAAGACCTGAGAAATGTAGTAGCACAAACTTCATCTTGTGCTTCAAGCCTCAGGCTCAGCCCTTCCTATGCGCAAATATTTATGGAGCGTATAAGCCTACAGTAACTTGTGATTTCAGATGCAAACGATGCAAATTGATCAAAATCTTCAAGTTTTGGAAGGTACTTTCTGCTGTTAAATTTAGCTGACTAATCATTCAAGTTTTCAAATGCATGAACCCATGTTCATGCCACCCAGAAAAAACTAGATGGGAAAGGTTTGCACAAGTCCCTTTGAATCTAAATTGATCTTCAGCCAGGATTATGAAAGATGTTCTGAAGCTAAAAGAGTCAGGAGGAGGATCACCGATTTGGTCAGGCTAATAAAAGAGATAAGTACGTTCACATATGAGAAGTTTTTTAGTAAAGAATCCTCAAGTAAGAGGCCAGAAACTCTTTACATAAATATCTTCATGTCAAATGCAGATCCAAAATAAAATTTGAGACAGTCATCACACATAAAAGAATATATAATGGATAGTACATAAAAGAAAAAAAAAATAGGGATGCTGGATTAAGCTGAGTAATAACATCTTTCTAGAGAGAGAAAATGTACAAATCAGGGATAGACCACAGACATTAAGGAAGCTTGTTCTGCCATTTCTTAAAACGCCAACTGGTAGGCTGCCCAATTGGAAGCGCATTAAGATGATTTCACACAAGGAATTAGGTATGAGATTCTGCTCGACTCTTTAACTTCTGAATACAATGCTATGTAGCACTGGCAGTGCTATGATTATGTTGCAATGAAGGAAATATCAGAAGCAATAGTAATTCAGAAGAAAATACGACTTCACTGGATGGTAAATAGAATGCTGTAGGGCAATCCCTGTGAAGGCACCACACTGGAAAATGAATACTTCATTACCTCCAGCAATGCTCAGAAGGAGAGATGAGGACAAACACGACACACATTTATTTCAGAGAAGCTACTATCTCAATATATTACCAAAGCATTGTCTTTCAGAGAACAAATATAGAAGACTCCTCTATGCTTTTTCTTGTTAGGTGTGATGATATAATGCCAAGGAAAACCTCCAATTTGAAATGCATTCTCCAGAGAAGATGCTTCAAATAGCAAAGGTGGAGTATCTGCAAACATGGGGTAATGTTAAGACCATTAGTAGAAGAACAATCATAATTCTGTTGATCCTTACAAGTCTAAATTACAATAAAGCTGTTAACTCTTCAGAACTTTTGAAGACAAGTGGAAATATACTGGCTGTTATAATTCTTCTAGCACCAGCGACACTTTCTCACCTAGCATCCAGGCACATATACGTATCTGCAACTCCCTGTGGAAGGTTACTGAGTTCTCACATCTTCATGCTGAACTACTTTCCTGATATCTTCGACTTACTTCATTCCAAATGAGCTGGATATGCGAAAACTTAGCAAATAGTTAAAATTAGTCCAGCTGATCTGAATGAGAGTGGACATAAACATGAACAGATCAAACAGCAGTCAAATCGCATATCAAAAAGATCACTATTCTCTTGAGAACAGTAGTACTAAATAGCTAAGCATCCTTTTCTGTCATACAGCAAAATAATGCGGACCACAACGAATTCAATCTGTAGCAGAGTTCTTAGAAAAAACAAAACAAAACAAAAACAAATCAAAGAATTCTTCTAATTAATGTCAAAAGGAGTCTAGTTCTATCTTGATTTCAGTTGGGATAAATAAGACAGATTCATTCATACAAATATTCTGTGTACTAAATGGGAAAAATGTCTTGGAAAGAAATGGCCTCTACAAAACTTTATAAATAAAAGCAACTTCTACAGCTGCTTTGACTCCCATCAGGTTTAAAATGAAAGAAGAGTTCTTTTTTCTCTTTTTTGTACAGAGAAATGCTTATTTAAAAAAAAATGAAGGAAGAAAAAGAAAAAGAAGGACAAAACATGGAGGAAATCTGCAGAGGGAATTTAAGCAGACAGAATGTAAATACTCAAGCTGAATTACTGTGAGGAGGGCAAGGTTCTTATCCGGACTTTCTTTTTACCCAAAGTCTGATCCAAATTTTGTCTTGTCCTTGCCCTGCTTAGTCTAGATAATTAACCAGACTATAGCTGATGGTGCCAAGATTTTGCATGATATCAGTAATTATGGTTATATAGTGCTTCCCACTTTTTCTTTCATATTTCTCAGAACGTAGCCCTTTATACAGAAAGGAATTACTTTGCTGTCCATGGAAATGAAGTTTTTCCTGAGCTAGAGAAAGGTTCTCTTCCTAGATGTCTTTTGCACTAGCACATAGGAAATGGGAGACTGTGTGCGACATGTAACAAAGTATACAGTTTATGAAAACTGAGGTAAGAAAGTACGGAGAATGTTGAGGATGGAGGCATAAGCAGAGGACCTGCAATTATTAACATCTGTCAGAAGATGAAAAATAGGTCAAGAAAACTTGTAACATTTCACTTTGTAGACTTTTTTATTTTAAATAATGAATATATATGATAAGGCCCATCAAAAATTCTACTGGATGGACTAAATGGTAGGTATAAATGCTTTTCCAGCAATACAACCATTTGAAGCAGTACAGGCTGCTGCTAAGGTATACTTTTCTTTTTTATGCTACTTTGCCAAAAAAATTATAAGGCTGCAGCCACCTCTGCAGTAGCGTAACTGCTGCTTCAACTCCCCATCACTGTTATGTGTCACTTGCTCTTGTTGCTCAACATTTTGTTTTCAATATTCCTGAGTCCTTCCCCTAGCAATGCAAGTTTTGAGTCTCTTAGTTAAGCCTCTTTGTTCATTTCCTTAGAACTCTCAAGTCTCATCTAAACATAAGCCACAAAGTTGTTCTTGGCAGCACTAACATGCATTTGTTCTAATTTGTTTTTTATTAATTGAATTTACTGAATCCTATAATAATCAATCAAATTACAATTTTATATGCTGGTCCTTCAGAAGATGACATAATGAAGATCTATAGTTATCTTTTCTTTTCTTTCAACCGTGGCCAAAATTAAATTTCTTATCCGTCAGTAGCTATAAAAGTTGTGGTAGGTACATAGTAATGCATGTGTTTATACCTCTTTATACCTCCTCTTGAGCACCTCATACACCATAAAAATAGCATCATATTTGAAGGAATTGCCATCCCTTCTGGCAATTTCTGTAGGGACAGTAGACTACATAAGTAGGAAAATTTTGAACAGTTAAATTACAGTAAATACAAGTTTAAACTCTGAAGTTGTTAAAATCTTACTCACTGAAGCATTACATTACACTGAAGGGTCAGTCAGCCATTTCACTCTTAGAAGAGAAACAGCTCCACAAAAAAAACCACAGGAATGCAACTAGCTGCAAACAGCAGCCACGGCAAATGTTCATCTAAGTTCAAAGCTTCCTGACCACAAATTTTTAAATATAATTCAAGATCAAAAACATTTCTCCCCCAGCACATGGGTTTTGAATATCATAAACAAAAACTATAGTGATTCATAAGACATGAGAACATATCAACTGTAGAATTCCTTTCTAAGCTCCCACAGTGTTTTCCAAAGGACGTATAGCATTACATTCTGGTTTAGCAGAGAGGAAAATAAGGAGAAATAAGGAGACATCAAATACAGTAGCCTATCACTGTTTTGATAAAACACTGCATTATACTTGAAAGCTTTAACTATTAATTCTGCATTTTGTCTTTGTGCACTTCCTCAAGTTTATGTGAATCAGTTTTTGTTTGTATGCTATTATCTAATATTGTTTATAAACATAAAGATGAAAAACATTTTATGGGAACAGCCTCCTATAAAGTATTTACTACAGAATCCTTCAAAAATTAGAGGAAAAAAGCATGCCTTATTTGATTTTGGTGAAACTTACTCCCACCTCAATTGTCTCACTTGAACTTTTTAGAATTTTTGAAGGGAAAAAAAAGTTTCACAGCCTTTGGTCATTTATTAAGATTCTTATTATCAAATTCTAATGTTAGAGGTACCAGTAGAGATGAATGTCCAGCTTCAAAGAAATTAAAGGCATTACATAAAGCAGAACATTGATAAATTAGTGATTTGAGGCATGAGGATAGATTTTAAGGTATCGTTTCTTCTTTCCTTGGGAATTAACCTCACTGAAACTGGCACATTTCCAATAATTAGAAACATGAAAATGCAATTTGGACAAGCTACGTACTATCTCACTGAATTCTCTCTGCAGGTCAGATTAAATTTTCTCTCATCTTCTGCTTATGTGCTTGTATGGGAACTGCTAAGTCGCTGAACCTCTGATTGATCACCTGAGGCGAGCCATGAGTCAGCCAGAGGAGCACAGGTGAAGGCAATTCACTCCTAGACCTATTTAAGAGCTGGCTACCAGAGGGGAAGGATCTCTTCTGGAGATCACCTCTTTTGGTGTTTTCTGGTGAGCTCAGCCAAAGGGCAAGCTCTTCCACTAATTCTCTTTTGTGATCATTGTTTACTTTGCCTAATTCTCTTGATTATATTGTAATTATAACATCTTGATATCTATTGATTATATAATTATATTGTAATTATAACATCTTGATTATACAGTGCTATATACAGTTTCTAAGTATCAATAGCTGTTGAAGCTCTTTCTCTTTTTCTGAACAGTTCTTTCAAAAATAAGAAAGGTGTTTCCATTTTGTGCATTACTTGTGAGGTTTCTAAAACAGATTATGTGCAGTACTAATTTGCTAGGTAAGTCACAGAACCATACAATGGCTCAAGCTATTTAATTTATTCTTGCAATTAAAAGTAAAGAAAAGCAGGAGTGTACTATAATGAACCCAGAAATAAAGCAACAGCACACTAGGACAGTAATTTTAATGTTCTTGGTGCTTAAAAAGTCATAAATAAACCACATAGGAGAAAATAATACAAAGATCATAAATACCTGTTATTTTAATGTTACATGGAAGACCAAATGGATACTTTCCTACAACTCCCACTTCACCATTCCAACTGAATTCACATCCCAGATCAAATGGCTGCTCCATGAACTAAAATAATGCAGAACAATTCAGCTTTATTGATGCACATTTACTTGCTTTTTTGTTTCAGTGCTCCATTACTACTGCATTCTTTATCTTGTTAGATGCTGCTCAAAGCCTTAATTTGAATTAACATCTGATTTTTTTTAATTGGAAAAAGGTAAACTTAAAAGGTTCACCTGTAGTTCAGGTTCAAATCAAACAAACTTCCATGCCCATCATTTTCTAACCATAACATTTTTTTGTAACTACAGACTGTGCATAAAAAGCAGCACGCTCTGGTCTAGCATATGTTGAAATGTCTGTCCAGCCCTATTTCTCATGTTTTGCCACCTGTGACTGGCAGAGCTAGAATTTTCAGATAGTGCATCCATTCATATCTTCAGGCTATAAATAGTCATAGGCAAGGATTCTATCCTTTTACACAATCCCCATGTACCTATGAGATGTTAAAGTATATTAATGATTTGTTACCACAAAATAGCATGGACTATATGAAAAATTTCCCATTACCTGTTCAGAGATAGCCTGGAAGTTATAGAGCCTGACCAAACCCATGCTATACATGACAATCAGGATTCCATTAGAAATAGCAACGTCTGTTACATTGTTACCAAATACCTGTAAAAAGAAAAATATTCTATTAAAGAACAAATAATTGAGAGAATGAAAAACCCAAAATTAAGGATATAATCTCAGTAATTAAATTCCTTTTCCTATAACCAAAGTTTTAGTGTAAGAAGGTTTCTGTAGCTCATCTGTTCTGCTGAGTTTCTCTAATACTTTGCATTGCATTATCATCTGTGTCAGGTAAGTCATATTCTACAAGAACATTCTCTAATTAATTCTGAGTATATCTTCATATCACGTTACCCAGTTATTACAAGACATGAATAGACTATTGCCCAGCATCCCACAGGAAGTCAACAGGAAAGCTAACAGTTCAATATAAAAGTGCTGATTGCAGAACTTCTCCATCACCAGGATAAAATACTAGACTAACCATGCCTCTGTGACTGTACAGCTGTACTAAAACTAAACTATCCGGCTGTCAAGAGTACAGATCCTCTCCGAATCTAAATTAGACCCATACATAAAAAGCTGATTACCCCTTTAGAGATTACGCAGTATTCATTTGTGCTACTCTTTAGAACATCTCCACTGAAGGGGGAAAAAAAAAAAAAAAAGGAACAAACTGATTCTTAATATTTAATGACAACATGTGAAGTTGGTAATTTTTTTATACTGAAATGTTTGGAAGACCAGAGTTTTCTTTTTTTTGGAATTCAGAATAGCTGTAGGAAGAAACAATTAAAACAGGCTTAAAATCAATTAAAGAAAAGAAACCCAAAGGCTGGAATACTCCTAATTCTTATCTATATCTTTCAGTTTGGTCCTGAAAGATAAATTCACCTCTGAGACCTTGCTTTTTTTTTTTTCTTCTTTTTTCTGTTGAAATTCGTTTTGGTCCTAGGGTCTTCCAGCCCAAACTCTCTTTACCCTTGACATAAAGGATAAAAAGTTCCAGTCTGAACTCAGACTTTATTGTGGCACACCACCTCAGTAAAACTGTTGCATTATATGCATTCTGTAGTATTCAAGAGTAACTAATCCTAACTGTAATTTAACAGTTAAATCCTACTGATCCCTGTCAGGCTTAGCATTGCATTCACTAGTTATTTCCTTGGATGAACATACTCTCAAATTCCACATTCAACCCTGACCTTATTCCTAGTAGTAACAGTTACTCTGATAAACAGTACAGGCCTAATTGAAGAAGATTTTTGTGGGTTTTTTTTTTTTTACATTTTGCTTGCTATGACCCTGATGAATCCAGCATGCCATCCATGAAAAGATGGAGAATACCCCTGATATGGGTAGAATTTGTGCTTTCCAGTCATAAATGCTAAGTTTAAACAGAACAGTGCCCCTACCTAAACTTTCACAGGTCCAAACAAAAAATGGTTAAACCTCCTCTTCCACTTCCCAGCCTTAGCCAAACCTAGCATGAGCTAAAACCCACTGGTAACTCTGGACCCCAAATGAGACTGTAGCTCACAGAACTTCAAAGACAGGTCCTGCATGTTCGTACTGTTCCACTTGTAAGATTTATCTAGAACACCTATGACTTAAAATATCGTTTTAACCAGAACACCAGAATTTCCATCAGCTTGACGATCTAAGTGTTTGCTTATGTAGGTCACAAACCAACCTCAGGAAAGTTGTTTCCTCTTGTCTGATAAAGACATATTTATACTGTACCATTTGGTATCTATGATAATGCAAGTTGGAGTCATTTGTAACTGTGTATAGAATCAATAGACTATTACTAGAAGTGGGTGAGAAGCGTATCTACGTATGAAGAGGTGAAAAGAACACTACACTCTACACTTCTCTAGCCTTTAATTACAGCAACTGTAGAACTGAAGTTCAACACATCAATGAGTAACCCAGTAACAATTCATTAACATTGCCTCTTCTGGAATTAAGATTCTTCCCCCAATGCTTCCAACTATCAGACACTAAAAGAACATCACTGTTCTTTAAAAAAAGTTGTGTTCTGAAACATTAAGTATGACTTCTGAAATTGTGGGACAGTTGCCTAAATCATGTCTCTCATACAACTACAGTGCAGAATAAAATTACCTTTTTGTTTATTTCTAGCATTCCAATAAATGACAGAGGCAAGACTTGGAAGACAGCAAGATGGAACAGTACAGACTGTTGGATACCTGCCTGGGAAAGAAAAAGCAATGAACACACATTATACTTGAGGTATTTACTGGCATTCGGATGCCTTTATATTTTACCATAGTAGCAAAGTACAATGTCTCCATATCTGTCCCCGTAAATTTGTGACTGGATCTTGTAAAAATTGAAGAACAGTTTTTCAACAAACTTACCTGCCGTGCTGCTGCAGGGAGTTTATTCTGAGCTGACTTCACAACCATTACTTCTTGAGGAGTATCCCAACTGAGATACCTATTTGTGATAACAAAGACCTATCTTAATCACTGTAAAATCATTTAATAATAAATACACTATTTCATGCAAAATTTAACCAATTGTAATTAGGCGGATCCCTGCGTCCAGGCAAACTGCTCAGTATCTGACTGGAGAAAGGCACCTGAACTGTTTGTTCTTTTCAATAATGCAAAAGCCACTGGACTAGATGCCAAGAACAGCTTATTCCTTATAGAGTTGTGTAAAAACTTCTGAAAGTATGAACATTCACTGTCTTATTTTTATTCCTTCCCTTCACAAATCACCGCTTTCTTATTCTTCAGTCTAAAAACGACTTCCAGGAACTCAAAAAACCATGCACCTTGCCAGAAGCAGTAACTGCTGTGCTTTTAAGAATGAAGTGGATAGGATACCCTATGGAGAAGAACGTTCGTAAGTTGAAAACTGCTTACTTTAACCTTTAAGCATGTTTTTCTTATGTTTTATGAAGGTTGCTTTGCATTCTTAGAAGTTTGCTGCTGGTATGTTGTTACTGCACTATCAAAGGCTATAAAATCATCAGAGAAAAACCAACAGTAGTAGTCTCTTTGTTGGATGTTTTTTTTTTTTTTGTGTGTGTGTGTGTGGTTACTTTTAAAGTACAAGTTACTTTTGTGTAACTTGATACCAAAATTGAGACAGTAATACTTAATTTGCTGAAGTGATTCTAAAGAAAACAGAGCAGGAAAAATACTCCAGGAAAACTGCTAGACAAACCTATGTATGATTGTGTTCCTAAGGTTTTATGAGCTGTCTTTCATTCTAAGACATCCAAAAAACTATGCATCCTCTGATCTGCAGGGAGTGTTTTGAGTTAATCTATTTACATAACATTCAATCATCAGAAGCAATGAAAAAATCTGGGAAATCATGGTAAAGTTTGATGAGGAACTTGGGACTTTGCTCTTTCCCCCCATTCTGTATTTGCAGCAAATTCCCTCCAATTAAAAAATATTTTTTTATAGTCCTTTGTAGAGGTTACCCTCCCAGAGGAATCATCAGATCAAGATTTTCTGAATGCACAGAAATTGGACAGCTTACTATACTGCAAGATAAACATGATTCCTCTTCTCCAGTTTAATACTAACGACTGTTAGCTATATAATCCCTAGCCAATGTTTAATACCTGAACTTGCAGCAGGAACCCGCAAGGTATACTTTTTCCAGTATTTCCCCACAATCAGCAGAGAGACGTAGAAGCCAGTTCTGCACTGTTAAGACTATAAGGGAAGGTTTATAGTCTGATGCATTTGGTAGCATTTCCCCCTGTGTAACAAAAAGGTTATCATGAAGAAGTTTGTATCAGGACATTACATAACAACAAGACAGTTTTTGAGCGCTGTGTATTCATTTCTAAAGATGGAAAGCTTCCTGATAATCACATCAGAATCTCTTAAGTTCACGTCTGTGCTTAATAATCAGCTGTTACACAATTAATTTGATTGCACACTTTTTGCAATGTTCTGTGGACAGTGCACAAGTGAAAAAATCCTCAAGAAGGGGAAATGTTCGCTACAAATAGTCTAAGGAAATTAAGCTCTTACAGCTTAGAACCGAGCTAAATCAGTCACATATGAGCACCCACAAAGACCTTTTCTTATGAAACAGACAAACTGTATTAGAACTATTAGTTGCTTCAGAAAAAATAACACAAAAATGTAACCCAAGAAGAAGAGAAAGAATGAGAAGTCTAACAGTGTGGCATCAAATATGGCAAGATTTTAAAGCTATGGAAAAGATTATCAGTTTGAAGTCAAATGGAAAATCCATTTGTAATAGCAGTGAACAGTTTTGATTTTGAACTAAAAGACATTCAAATTGCATGATATTACTATACCATAGGCACTAAGAAGAACAACACAGAAATACTGATTGCATTTTTCATTTCTCTTCCCTTGTGTGTTCCAGACTACATCTCAGCAGGGTGCTCCCAAGTACAAAATATTATAGTTCAAAATTCCACCAGGTGAATCGGACATTTCAAACCAAGCAAAATAACCCATGGATGAAGAAATACTCTTCCTTCTCTTTACAGTGCTCAATGAAAAATGGCTAATTGAATTGACTAACTTCTCTCAAATTTTACCTTTTTTGTGAGAAAACAGAACAAGCTTCAGTCTAAATACTGCAGAAAGACTATCTATGTATGAGTATTTATGAATGTAAGGGAAGAAAGGAGGAAAATTAATTAAAATAATTAACTAGAAAGAGGAGAATAGCTTGTGGACAGTTACTTCAATAGGCCTTTTTTATATATAAAATGTTAACATCTGGTTAAGAAAAAGAAAACTCCCATTTACTGCCCTTGATAACTCAAAAATAAACAGAACAGAATTTATGTTGTAAGGAATTAGAATTGAGTTGCATAAGCATAAAGGCACAATTTTTAAAATCTTCCACAGATGTTCATGAAAAAGCACTTACATGCACTGTTGAAAAGTTCAGAGTATACCCCTAAGCATACATTCTGTCAAAATAAGCATAAGATGCAAACCTTGGATGACTCTGCTCACAAAAAATGTTGACAAAAACAGTTAACAGGGAAAGAATGCTCTATTCCAAATCTGTTTGTCTGAAAGATATTAATTTGTTTTTGCAAAACAATGCTCTAGTAAAAAGTATTCTTACCAGTGGGCATTCCAATAATAAAGCATCTTCTATTTTTTCTGACTTAGAACACTTTGGCTTTTGATAAAGTATTCTTGGCTCTTGTGCAATGCTGGAGGAAAATGATTGCTAATCATTAGTCTACTTTATAAACTACTTTCTATCACAAGTAATTTCATACACTTATATAAACCCTACTCTTTTGGTAAGTCAGAGATCTACATGCCTTAATTTTCCTTTGTAAATGCTATCTGAAATTGCTCTCAAAGTAAGGCTTGTAAGTAAATGTAGTATAAAGTAATGCTTAAAACCAAACCTTTGCTAAGTTTTTGTTAAAGCAAGCAGAACAAGATATACTTAATAGTACTGTTGTTATTTTACTAATATCCATTAACAAGAAAACATATTCCAGAAACTAAGAATCATATTGAAACCTTCCTCTAAATACGAAGTTCCCTTTCCTAATACAAAGGGATGGCATAATGTACAGACATTTTTAAAAACCTGATACTAGCATAAAATCTTCATAGCGTGTGTAGTTTTCCCCTTATGGAGAAGTTGAGACAAAGATAAACCTTCAAAGACTTTTATGTTTCATATTGCACCGTCTCAATATTGTTTTGACCATGGCTTACACCAGTTCTCCTAGTCCCTACTCCTTTCCCACGTGGGACAGGTGAGGACTGATGTGAGCGGGACCCACCGGCCCCTACTCTGCCCTGTGCTGCTTCTGAGCTGTGCCTCTGCAGCGTTCATGGAACAGGAAAGCATGTCAGAGAACTGATCTGCTCAAAAGTAAATTCCACTCAGCTCACAGGGACAGTTGAGAAGGGTAAGGTTTGCTACATGTTTCAAACAGTTGTGATGTTAGAACTGCAAGCCAGGTCAACTTTTAATTGTAAATGTATTACCTGCTGATACAGCATCGGTAGTTGTCTAAGTAAATTCTTCCTCTTTCATAAGCAATAGGAGATGCAGAGTGCGTTGTCCAAACGTTCTTGAATTTAGTACTTTCCTGAAACAGACAGAGGCTACAACTGTGATGGACTTGTGAAAAAAATTGCATTTGGAAAATCCTTGCTCCTGCAGCTTGATAACTGAGTTTAATGGAACCTTTCTTTTTGTACGACTGTGGCAGTTTTTTGGGTTTTTGTTTATTTTTTTAAACAAAACACTTTTTAAGAGAAGACTTCTCTCTTTCAAAAACTAAATTAAAGTAACTCTTTACTAGCTTATGCACAGCATGTGCAATTAACATTTTGTTCTTAATTGCCTCCATTAGAACTGTCAATTTTCATGCAAAAATATTAATCAAGGATAAAATCCCCCTCTGTGTGAATATGCACGTACCATTCCTTTATACATAAGTAATTGAATTTATTGAGCATCGCTTCCACTTTACTCTTGGTGACTGGTATGAAAGGTAGAAAGGCTGTCAGTACAGTTATTTGCAACATCAGTTCGAAGTGGCCCATTCTCATGTAGATTGTTAAAGGTGCCTACTGCAGACACCAGCAGCAATATCCCCCTAACACAGTCCTACAAAACATAAGTATTTGTATAGGCCAGAGGGATGCCCTCACATGTCCGTACATCTGGCTGCATTAGGGGCTGCTAAATTCAGACAGTACATTTACTGGAAATCAGCTGTAACACAGCTGCCCACTGTCTGCCACGCCAGCTGTCAGTGCAGGGCTGTCAACTACTGCACAGCAGCTTTAATCATTCTTAAATGAAACACACTTAGTCTACAACTGGTGTAATTTCTCTATTTCTGTAACAGAAACGTCACTGACACGTTAAGGGTATGTTTGTTTACCTGCAGACCTCTGCTGATTTTGCTCTGAGAACTCCCCAAAACGTTACAGAATTAGTATTAGCCATCTTAAGGGATGGAAGAAGCAATATAAGATCTCCTAAGAGGCAATTTCTAACGTGAACACGAGATTTACAAGCGCTTCTGCTGTTTCTTCACCACGGTACTCCGTAGGTTTCTGAGTCTCACTAAATACAGGTACCCGTTTATAACTCTCTCGGCTGCACTTGTATTCCCTTCCCAGACTTGCTAGCGCGACCCAGCGACTTCCGAAACGCGCGTCCCGCGCGCGCCGCCCTTACCTGGCAGAGGATGGTTCTCAGAAGCCCCATGTTCTTCCGGAGGGCCACGCCGGCGTCTCGGGCGTAAAACCCGCGGGCCCTGCGGCCGAGCAGGCGGCACACGTTGGGCGCCCGCGGCGCGGCCCTCCCGGCAACGGCGGGGCACATCCTCGGCTCTCGGGCAGCGCGGGCCCTGCCGCTCGCCCGGAGCCCCGAGCCGCACGGAGAAGCCACCGACGTCACGTGTCCGCGGCCGCCTCAGCCCGCCCGGCGCCGGGGGACGCGGAGCGGGGAAAGGCTGGAGCAGCCGCTCCGGGCCGGGGGGCGCACGCCGGAACCACCCGGCCGGCGCGGGGAGCGGAGGGCCCGGAGCGCCTCGCCATTCGCGGCAGGGACGCGTGACCCGGCACGCCGCTGCCCGCCCCGCGGCCCGCCGGGTACTGTAGTTCTGCGGGGCGGAATTCCGCGGCGCACTCGCGCCGCGCCTGAGGGGCCGGGGCTGCCCGCAGGGGGCTCGTAGGGAGAGGCTTCGGGGCTCCGAGTTCGCCGGCCGCTGCCGCTGTGACCTCCGGGCGCCGTACTGAGGGACTGAAGTGAGTGCAACGCGCACGGGCGAACAGAGGTGCAAAGGAAAGAATTCCACTCGAGATTCCGGCTGTAAAAGGCGGGAGAGTTTTGTGGGAGATCATTGAGTCCAAAGAAGAAACTGCAGCCGAAGCTCATATCTTCTCAGGTTCCGTCTGTGAGTGCTAGGGTGCGGGCCGAGAGGGGCTGTGCTGCAGGGTGTGCGGCGGCACTGAGCCGAGTGAGCGGGCAGTCGGTGTCCTGCTGTGCGTGGGAGAGGAGGAGGGTGTTGAAAACCCTGTATTTCCGGGCTCAGCAACACCTCCCTGAGTTATGTGATACTTATTTTTTTAGAGCTGCTTCTAAAAGTCGTCACCATCGTCAACAGCGTTTGCCAGAAGAGAAACTGGACTTCTGGAGACAAGCTTGTGTTCTTTCCTCCAAAGGCCTAAATGGGGTAATGTGCAAGCTGCTGGTCTTTGTGTTTCCTTGTCTGTTCTCCAGGAGCCCTGAGTGGGACCAGGCACCTTTGCTAGTACTGTAACAGCTGTGAAAGTGTAGTGCTGTGATGCTGTGGTACATCACCAGTGTTTAGGTGCAGGAAGAGACGGTGTAGGTGAGGCAGTTGCGGTTGCCCCACTGGTACTCAAGTGGCTCTGCTCTACACAAACTGGTGGTCACCTCAGGGTTGGCAAAATCCATGCAGACATTCAGAATCTTGCAGAGATTAAATGGGGGCGGTCAGTGTAAGTTACAGATCAGTGAAATCCTCATTGCTGTTCCAGTTCTCAGCAGCATCCTTAATAGTAGGAAAATGATGTGTTTTGTGTTGAGATAAGTGATCTTTGGTTTGTCGATAAAGTTATGCATTCGGTATGTCATAGAAAGTAGGGTTGAAAAACAACTGTAGTAATTGAAAGATGTACTTACGTGCATAGTAAGGATATAAACCTGCGTTTTCTTTTTCACTTACCTAAGCGCCAGCCAGCAGAGGGTGCACAGGTTAACTGGGAAGCCTCAGTTATGAGCTGTGTTTGTCACTGATGGCTTCCTCTTGACAGTAACCTTGCAAGTAGATGAGTTCAATAAATCACTTTCTGTTATATTCTGATGGATATGTAAGAAAAGATGTGTTGAATTATCTCAGGAGAAAAGGGGAAAAACAGAGAATATGGGGGGGAGAGGGCAGTAAAGGATTGTGCAGAATACTTACATATTTAAATGCGATACAAAAAGTCCTTACAAACATTCTGATATGTGGGAAAACAGTTTGTCTGTAAAGTCAAAAAAAAATGGGTTTTTGCAGGATGGTAAAGTAAAGAATCATGTTACATTTGTGTCTTCGTTTCAGTGATTAAGAAATCTGTTACTGAGTGCACAGTATCTTCCTAACTTCAAGTTTATAGTTATGTGATCTCTGAGCATGCCTTTAGTAGGTGAAGTAGCAGAACAATAAAATCTTAAAATCAAATTATAAATAGATCTAACACAAAATGGAAATTCCTTTCAAAAAACGATGCTAGGATATAAAAAATATTTTTACCTTCAGCTAGAATGAAAGTATTTTTCACAAATTGAGGTATATTTTGCAGTTAAAATTCCTTACTGAAGCTTTATTTTAAAGTCAGAATAGTCTTTGATAGTGGAGCCAGAACATCTACATCATACATTGAAATGATACTGTTTCAACAAAACATTTGTCCTATATATATTGTTTTGACTAGGACAAATGTTTTGTTGAAACTGTGTGTGTATATACCTATATATACACACTATACTGAATATGAAACTGTATATATATTAAATACATATATATGCATATATATATGTGTGTGTGTGTGTGTTAATAAAATCACTACATTTGGGGGACAAACTTCTGTAAGAATTTTTTATCCCCTGGCATGCCAAGTAAAAGAAGAAATAGGAGCTCAAGTTACTTTAGAATGGGGCTGATTACATTAGTCACCTCCAGCAATTTACGAATTGAGTTCCATATGTTCACACATACAATTAATTTAGATAAAACACTTTTGTTAGTTGTTTCATGTTTATGACATTCACATTGATTAAAGCAAATAAAATACATCTATATTTCTGAAGTAACCATTTATTTCTTTGTTGTTGGCTGTACGTGTATCTGATCTTGCAGTTGCCATTATTTTATCTTCATCTGCATTTTTAAGCTGTTTTCATTACCTTAGAAATATATTGTATGGGAACTGCTGAGTCATGGCCTGAACCTCTGATTGATCACCTGAGGCGAGCCATGAGTCAGCCAGAGGAGCACAGGTGAAGGCAATTCAGCTGTGCTGCCGGAAGGGTGGAGCCAGGCTCCACCCCTCCTAAACCTATTTAAAAGCTGGCTCCCAGAGGGGAAGGGTCTCTTCTGGAGATCACCTCTCTTGGTGTTTTGTGGTGAGCTCAACCGAAATGTAAGCTCTTCCACTTATTCTCTTTTTGTTATCGTTGTCTATTTTGCCTAACTCTTTTGATTATATTGTGATTATAACATCTTGATATCTATTGATTATACAATTATATTGTGATTATAACATCTTGATATCTATTGATTATACACATATTAAAGATTGCAGTTGATTTCCTCAGTACTGGGGATAAAGCTTCCCAGACAATTAGATGAATATGCCAGTATGAACTAATGTTGCAGTTCATAGTCTCAATTGAAGGTTTTTTTTTTTTTTTGTTTTGTTTTTGTGGGAATGGTGATTGCTTCTTTAAGATAAAAGAATAAAGATAATAATACAACTCATAGTTTTGTAAAATATTGCAAAAATGGCTTATGTTGCAGAATAATTTCAACAGGAATATCAAAGGAGAATAGTGGCTATTCTCCAAATTAGGAAATTAAGTAGTAATAATATTTTTAAACCCTCAAGGATTTTTAGCTCTCTGCTTGTCTTTAATAGTAGTCCATTATATAGTACTTACATACATTATTTTATCCCAAATAATATACCTTCAAGTTATGTTGCTGTTTTCCTGGATGTGTAATGGTCTGAGTAATTTTTTGCAGGAAAAAAAAGTTATCATCCTTCCTCATCTCTATCTCCCATTGCCCTCGTACAGTCTATTCTTTTCTCAACCTGTTTGCACTGAATGGTAGTGTAGGAACAGTCTTTTCTTACTTAACATTTTTGTATATGTGTTTAAAAGTACATCTGCTTGCTGGTTGGTTGGTTGAGTCTTGTTTGTTTGTTTGCATCTGCTGTTGCTTTTTAACCAATGTAAACAGTCAGAGTAGTATTTTGCTTCTCCTTATAAATCAAAATATTTTCTGTTTTTCTTTTTCCCTAGATGTAGTCAGTGCTCTTCAGTATTTTCTGAGAGTTGCTGTGTGCCCACAGGGATGCCTGCATCATTCCCAGTGATGATGCATGAGAAGAAAAAAGCAGTTGAGAGTTTTAGGTCTGCTGAGTTTGAGAAATTTGGAAATACATTTGTCTTTCAACTGGGCACTTTCTTTAAAGTGAGTCATTGAAGGACTAATCACGAAGCCCCAAAAGAGCATGTTTTGTCACTTTGTAAAATAGAATAGCACTATGTATTCACTTAATGAGTGAATTTGGTTGATAGCAAAGATTCTTCTGTTCCTTGCTTCCATCCTTCCTTCCTCTTCTCTTCATTTGGCCTATTCTTGGGTTGTACCTGCATCTCAGAAATACTGAACATGTATGAGGAAAAAAAGACTACTGATAACCCATAGTTAAACCTTCATCACTACCATCGTCATAAAGACTTTCTCACTTTGTGTTCATGATCACTTTTACTACTCGCACCTGTTTTATACAGCTGAGCTGTTTGATGGTGATAAAATATGCCAGCATATGCTTTACAGAGGGGCATTTGGATTTGATTATCAAATGTTGTGCTTCTAGGTTCCAAGCAGAACTAATGATACAAAAATCACTGTTTCCATGATGTCTTTCTGAACAGAAATGTAATGGAAGCTGTATGTGGTCTTTCTAGTACAGGCTCATGTTTTTCTTTGTAATGGTGACTCTGCATACAGATAGGTTCAGCAATTGCAAATGGAAGGACTTGTTAGCTCTGCAGCAAGAAATCAGTTGCATATCACAGGGTTTTCATCATTAATTTAACTGAAACTAGTTTCCCTGACAAAAAAGGAGTTTTTCTTGTTCTTTAATTTGTCTCTTTTTTCCTGACACCTATTTCAGAATTTATGCTTCTTAAGGATATTATTCATCAGTGGAGTGGTTTGCATATGTTTTGGTGTGAACTTCACTGTTTAAAACAAGATTAGAACAGCTCTTCTCTCCTACATCTCTAATTTTATCTGTGTGGATGTAACTGCTTTGAGGTTTTAATGCCAACAATCCATCATAAATGTTTAACTTGTTGTCTACCTGGCGGATGACATGTGTACCTTCTTCTGCATGTTCACCTTCACCCAGCTTTTCTAAAGGTGCTTTGCTAAATTGTTTGGGAGGGGAGGATTTTCTGAAGGTTATTCTTTGTAGCATTAACAAAATTTTAGAGGCTAAAATACGAAGCTTCACAGGGGAAAATACATCTTCTATTTGCTTTTGAGCACGGTTACTGAGTGTGTCATTTCTTTAAAGCTGTTTTTTTTGTTGTTGTTGTTTTGTTGTTTTGTTTTTTTTTTTTCCCCTGGAAAGCAGTTAAAACTTCCAAAAAAGGTATATTCAATGTAGTGTAGTGTCATAAGATCCTTAAAGGTAAAGGTTGGACTGCTTGGATTAATAATGAAGCTTTCCTGATTGTGACTCTGGACAACGAAATAATTCCTGATTCTTTCAGATATTTTTTACTGACATTGCTTCAGGATATGATCATCTTGTCTGATAAAGAGAAAAGTTGGTTGCCTATTTCGTTAACAAAATCAATTAGAGAAATAATCAAGGAATGACTCACTTCTGAAAATGAAAATTAGTCTTCTAAGCAACATAAATGCTCTTGTACCTTCTAGTAGCCAGATTGCCCATTGATCTCATGATCTGTGGATCACTGTATCTCTTAGTTCCTTGGAGGTGTGCATGTATCTTCTAGATATTTAACTCTGGATGCAACAATGAACTGAACTTCCCCATTTTCCCCCGTCTTTGCATTTTCTTGGTGTTTCAGAATTTATCAGCTAAACTTGTGTAATTATCACTCAGAGGATCATATTCTTGTAAAAAGAGCTGCATCTCTGGATTTTTACTGGTGTTGGATCATCTTAGTCATCTGACTATAATTTCCATCTGTGCATCTTTTCATGTTCTTACTGATTTTTAGAAAGCCAAGGAAAATTATGTGACTAGCCTCCCAGCTGAATCATTGTATTTTATGCTGAATATAAATGCTGTCACAGGAAATGCAAGATACTAACTCAGGTCTTTTTGAATGATTGAAGGAAGAATAGGATTTGTAAACAGTTTGCAATGTAATCATGGAATCTTTATCCAGATACTTTTATTATTTAATGATGATAATTTTTTATTAAAAATTCGTGATGATTTTTGTGGTTTTGCTTTGTGTTTCTTTTCTACTTGGTTTTGTGACTAAGGAGATTGTCTTAATGTAAATTATGTTTTGCAGAAATTGTCAAGGTGTGGTAGTTTTTATGCCTCATTGTTACTATTTCTTAATGTTCCATATGTGTTAATAATTATGCATTTTGTTATGAAAAATGGTTCATACGTATTTTCAGAGAAGAAGTAAAATGGATTGTATTAATTTAAGTGTAAACTGGACTTGGTTTAGTTGTTCAGCCACATCAAAAACAAAAAAGCCATAATGAAATAATGAAAATTTGAAGAGGTTTTAATATTTTTAAATAGGATTAAATGTTGCATTTTCCCCTTATGGTGATGACCCATACCCTGATAGAACATTGCAGGACTGGTAGCCAAAATGTAACAGTGTATATATTTGGCACTGGCAGCAAAAAGATTTAAAAAATCATTTTGTTTAATCTTAGACAAATAGAGAGGAATTTTAATTTTTTTTCCTCTTGTTTTTCTGTCAGCTTAAAATGAATAAACAATGCCCTTTTAAAAGCATGACTCATTCAGAAGTACACCTTAAATGAGGAATTGTTCATTTAATTGAAGTAATTCCTTTGCCAGGCTTTGTATTGATGTGTACAAATTAATCTGTTTTTATTCACGGTACAAGACTTGTGATCAAATAGTAGGATTTTCCTCAAGATAAAAATCTTCCTTTTGTTACCAGTTTGCACAGAGTGTTTTCTAGTAATGCCTGTACTTAAACTGTGCCTGTTCTTTTGTAACTGCATTTTGTATTTCCAGTGTGCTAAATTTGTATGCGTGGCATATACAGCAGAAGCACTCAAAAAAAAAAAAAAAAAAGTACTAAGAGTCATTTTTAAAGTCACATGCAGAGGAGCTGAAGGAAAAAAGAACAAAGGCACATCAGAATACATCTAGGAGCAGGAATATTTCATTTTATTTATCTCCTAGAAAACCTACATTAACAAGGGTATGCCAAAAAAAAACCCCCACAAATCCAACAAGACAAAATTCTGGTACTAGCTACACACACTTGTTATCTTTCATTATTGATACTGTATGAAGAGATTCCATCTAAAGTAAAATACAATAATAGAAGGCAGCTGTACATGTAATAGAAAAACCACAAGCATTTTGTAATTCACATGACAAGAGAGCTGAAACTGAAACTAGATGATCTTGAAGGTCTCTTCCATCCCAAGGTCATTCTATGGGTCATTCTATGAAATTTAACATCTAAAAACTTTGATTTCTAAGGGGGCACTGAGTGGGTCTCAGGAGAATATGAAGCAGGAATTTTGGAAGGCTTTCTCTGGTGCATAACATTGACACTTGTTGAATCTTTCATTTCTTGTGTAAAAGCACAAAACCACAATCACAATTCTAGAATTGAATATTTGAAGACTGTTTCCTGGTGAATGGGGTGAAAAATGTGAAGTCCAATGACAACATGTACCCTTTCGAACAAGTGGTTTAATTATCGATCATTCTTTGCTTGTCTTTTTCAAAGATGCAATGTCGAACTTGGTTTACTGTTTTGCTGTGTTTGTTTTTTTCCAGTGGCAGTTAGGACTTCAAAACTACACCCAAAAATTTACTTTTCTAGTTTTGTTGCAGTAGCCTACTTTGGGACTACTTGTGCTTTCAGCACACTCAGGGGATATTGCTGCTTTCTAAAAAGCATTTAAATTGATATTACAGTAAGAGATAATTACTGAAGTTGATATTGGATCTAGATTATTTGACCAGTTTCTTTTCTAAGTGACATAAACAACTAAATTATGGCAAAACTGTAATTTGAGTTAATTGTATTTTCAGATGTCTGAACAAAATGAATTTCATTACAAGGCTTTCTGCTTTGTGTCTGAGAAAAAAAAGCAATATGCAGCAAAGGCACCAGAGAAGTCGGCGGCCAGCTGTTCCACTTGGATCACGGATTTTAACTGACCCTTCGAAAGTTTTTGAGCATAACATGTGGTAAGATGTCTATGTAAGGATGATTTTCATATTTGTCTGTATATTATTTACGATAGTGAATAATGTATATTAATACATGTTTTATATGCTGTTGTATGTATGTATACGTTTATACATATATATAAACAAAATAGTAAACTAATTGATTTTGAAAGGTATTGCTAAAGAGGACTTCATATTGTCACAAGCAGCTTTGACACTGAGTTTGCAGTGGCTCATGTAGAAAGCTGAGTATGTAGTCATGTGATGAAAGTCAAAATAATTCTGAAATGAATTAGGAAACAGAAAGTGTAGAGGATAAGTAGTATATATTTTAATGGCAGAAATTTACAAAAATGTTGCATAATGGATTAGCATTGTATTCTACAACTGACACCATATCAAAAGGAACCTGTGTTCGTCTAAAAGTGCACTGAAGATCTTACAGGTACTTCAGCAGAGATTGCATACAGTGCATAATGGTTAAACAGACAGAAAAAAAAACAACCAGAAAAACGCAAATCATAATATAAATAATCAATATAATAGCAGAGAAAACATTAACATGTAAGTGTTAATAACAGTAATAATTGCCCTTATAAGCAGCCATGCATCTCCATTTTTAAAAGGTATTTTTATGATCAGTGGGGGGGGGGGGGCCCAGCAAACAGTGAGAATCCTGGTGAACACTGCTGGGAAACTGTCTTGGGAAATAAGACTGATAAGACTAGGAGTTTCCTCTGTGGAATGGAGATGAACAAGTTGAAATTATACAAAACTGTAAGTGGTAAAGAATTGTTAGAAGAATCTATCTAGAAAGTAGGAAAATGTCTTCCTATGATATCAGGAAAACCAGAAATTTTTAATCCTATAGTTCATGATTTAAGAACAAGGAATATTTGGTGAAAGGAGAAACAGGGCGTTTAAAGGTTACACAAGAAATCATTTTCTGCGTGGTTTTTAAATATATTTTGGATTCTGCCACATGATTTTTAAGAGCAAATATTTAGCAATATCTGAAAACAGACAATACGGCTAATGATAATGAAAAGCTAACGGATAACATAATACAACAATAACAGACTACAAATTTCAGGGCTTAGATTTAAGGCATAAAAGAACTAAAAATTAAGTTACATGTATATCACTAATTATAGAACAGGAAGATACTTAATTGGTTTTAGAGACAGTGAACTCTTTTCAGGATAGATGTTAATCCTATTCTTAATTAAAAATGCATATTCCTCAGCCCAAGTGCAGTTGGAATTTTTATCTTAATCACTTCATTTGACTTTTACCTGTCTAATAATTGTTGTCAATCAGACATTAAAGCTTTTTTTTTTTTTCATCATTTGCCTGTATTTTACAAGCAAATGTACAAAGGTATTTGAGACATTGCAGCTAATTTGTGATTGTTTTCCCCAGAAGATGATTATGGAAACTCATATTTAAAGGCTGATTTTTCATCTACCTTTTTTTTGCAGGGACCACATGCAGTGGTCACAGGAAGAGGAGGAGCGTGCCAAGGAAAAAGCAGCAGAGAACTCGCTTGTGAAAGTCCAATTGGAAGAACAAGGTAACAAATCCATAATTGCCTAAAAATCCAATTTTAGTACCAATTGTTAAAGCATTTAAGGATGCTTTGAAATCCAAGAGTACTCCTTTTATTTTTGTGTTCTCTGGTAAAGGATTGTCCTTAAGTGTGTTTTTCTACTAATTCACTTAGTTGAGTGATTTTACTTTTTGGAGGAGCAACAATATATATGTAAAACAATAAGATTAGTTTGGTGCAGTTGCAAAGATAGACTCCTTTTGCAAAAGTTCTTCAGAATAAAATTCCTACTAAACAGACAGTTAACTGGACGAAGTAGGAGTGACGTTGCAGCCAGCTGAGGTGCTGGGAGTAAAAATTCCCATGTACAATATTCAAATCCTTTTAAATGATTTGTGAAGTGTTTAGAGAGTTTATGTTTGTACATGGCACTATGTTTCTATTAAGTGCCATGAAAGTTACATTGATCGCAGCTGGCTCCAGCTTGCTGCATTGGCCAAACTGAGCAGAAGTAGTACTTCACTTTGTGTATTAGGTGGTCTAAAACATCATATGGAGCCTGGCCTACAAATGCTTAAAGAATCTCATGCCTGTCTTTAGAGACAAAACTTAACATATTCTGCGTTTCTGAAGAACAATTGCTCTAGGGTCAAACTGGCAAACTAAACCTTAGACTGAATTCTCTAATAGTTATGTATGCTAAAGGTGGAGTATTAATTTGGTAGTAACCTAGAAGATTGAATTCTTAATTTGCTCCTTTATTATAAAGACATTCTGAAAACAATTACTTGGATGGGCAAAAGTTTACCTAGCATGTCTTGAACATGTAGAATTAGTGTCACTATGACCCTGTTCTCAGTTTTATTGATATAACCAGGGCAAATGTTTGAGTGTATGTGAATTACCTGCGAGTGCATTTTAGTGTATGTGCCCTCCACCACTTTGAATACTGCAGGATTGCCATCTGCCCTTTTCTGTTCTTGTGTCTCTCATTCTTTATCTTGATCCAGGAGTACAATGTTTGCTTTTCAAAACTGATAATCTGGTATTTTCATTATTTTTGTATAAAGAGTTGAAAAAGAGATGATTAAAAAGTAAACTATGTAACCATGTAACTCATGGAATCTTTCATTCTTAACCTACAATCATTTAGAACTTAGTTTGGGCTGGTGAGAAATGAAATAATCAGGCATTTGTCAAGAAATAAAAGAATCCAAGAACATTTTCCATGAATGCCTCTCTGTTTAGAATTTGAATAGGTGAGCGTTTCTGATACAGTTCCTTCAGAAGGCTTCAGCTTCATTCTGTAAATGGAAGTACCTTTTTGCCTATTTGTGTTAACAATGAACTAGATGGAAGCTAATGAGCAGATTATTTTGGAGCCTTGGAAACTGCAGTAAGGGGAAAAAAAAAAGATAGACTTCAACTATCTTGAAATCACTAAAATAGAATAGTTATGGTGAGCCTTAGTAAAACAAGAGATGTTAAAATGAATGAACCCATGATCCTACTTTCAGGAATGTGATTGATGTATTAGCATGTTCTGTTTCTTCTTAGATCTGATTGTCAGTGTACGAAAATATGTCAGAATAGATTCTGTTTTGGAGAAATATCAAATGGGTTAAGAAAGAGACTTTTTGGATGTTGCTGCCTCAAAAGGTTATAACTTAATTTGTTTGTAGATTTTACGTGCCTTGGAAAAAGTAGCAGTCAGGCTTCTTAAATATTCAAAAGGAGATAATGTGGAGGGAGCAACAACAAAAATAAGCCAGTGTGGTGACTGCCCTCTCTGCTTAATCTCTGAGATTAACAAAGCAAAGTAAATATTTCTCATCAATTTCATCAAGTCTATGATTTTAAATATTATCTTCTGTTGAATTCAGGAAAAAAAATAATTACTGGAGTTGAAATAATGGCAGATTCTTCAACATCTTTAAATGTTTCTTGAACACGTCCGGGGATGGTGACTCCATCACCTCTCTGGGCACCCCATTCCAGTGCCTGACCCCTCTCTTGGAGAAAAAGTATTTCTTAATGTCCAACCTGAATCTCCCCTGGTGCAAGTTGAAGCCATTCCCTCTAGTTGTATCACTAGTTATGTGGGAGGAGAGGCCAACCCCCCTGTATGGGAACTGCTGAGTCACAGCCTGAACCTCTGATTGATCACCTGAGGCGAGCCATGAGTCAGCCAGAGGAGCACAGGTGAAGGCAATTCAGCTGTGCTCCTAGACCTATTTAAGAGCTGGCTACCAATGGGGAAGGATCTCTTTTGGAGATCCCCTCTTCTGGTGTTTTTTGTAGGTGAGCCTAGCATACGGGTAACCCTTCCATTTATTCTCTCTTATTATCTTAGTCTGCTTTGCCTAACTCTCTTGTTCTTTTTGTGATTATAACATCTTAATATCCATTGATTATCCCCCTCCCCCCGCCACAACCTCCCTTCAGGTAATTGTAGAGGGCAATTAGGTCACTCCTGAGCCTTCTCTGCTCTAGACTAAACAATCCCAATTCCCTCAGCTGCTCCTCATAGGGCTTGTGGTCCAGACCCCACACCAGCTTCGTTACCCTTCTCTGAACATGCTCCAGGGTCTCCACGTCTTTTTTGTAGTGAGGGGCCCAAAACTGAACAGTGCAGCCTCACTAAGGCTGAATGCAGAGGGATAATCACTTTTCTGCTCCTGCTGGCAACGCAATTTCCGATACAAGCCAGGATGCCATCAGCCCTCTTGGCCACCTGGGCACACTGCTGGCTCATGGTCAACACTGGGATGAACAACACCCCCAGATCTGTTTCCTCTACACAGTCTTCTAGCTACTCTGCCGCAACCCTGTGATGTTGTGTAGAGTTGTTGTGGCCAAAGCACAGGACCCGGCACTTGCTGAACCTCATCCCTTTGGCCTCAGCACACCAATCCAGCCTGTCCAACTCGCTCTGTAGGGCCTTGCTACCCCCTGACAGGGTGCACTCAGTGCTCTCATCCAGGTTATCAGTAGAGATATTGAACAGGCCCCAGTACCGACCCTTGGGGAAACACCAGTCATGACCGATTGCCAACTGGATTTAACCACTACTCTCTGGGCCCAGCCATACAGCCAGTTCTTTACCCAGAAAGGAGTGTATCTGTCCAAGCCACGGGCTGCCAGCTTCTTCAGGAGAATACTGTGGGAGACAGTATTGAAGTCTAGGCAGACTACACCAACAGCCCTTCCTTCATCCATCGGGCAGGTCACTTAATCAGAGAAGATCAGGTTGGTTAAGCAAGACCTGCCTTTCATGAACCCATGCTCGCTAGGCTTGATCCCCCAGTAGTCCCTGGAGGTATTCAAGAAATGTTTAAATCATTTACTGAGGGAAGTTATTTAGTGGGAAATACTGGCGATAGGTAGATGGTTGGACTTAGGTTGATCCTAGAGGTCTTTTCCAACTTTGGTGATTTTGTGATTCTATGTCAGAAAAATTTATTAGTAATAATACTATGTGTGGCTATTACTCAGTGGTGCAGGAGTGACCAGTGAAAGAATGGGAAGAGTTCTTGTACTTGAATCCATGTGGTATCAAACTAATACAGTTTGAAAGGCAAACTTTAGAAAGTACTTTCCTTCCATTTTGAAATCTGGAACATTTCATGGGCATTTGAGTCCAAGGGTTCTGAAGAAACTTGCAGAAAGATAATAAATATTAAAGAGTGGTAATGAGTTAAGAATCTTTGTAGTAGATGATTTGTTTTTATATCGGAGCTGAGCAATCTTCATGAATGTGTAACGTACATTATTGAAATCTGGTATATATGACCTCAATCAACTCGGCACTTGAGATTATAAAACACATCTGTACGGTTGCTGTACCCTTTAATAATACATTTAGATGTATTAAATGTTAAATTCTAAAAATTATTCCTATTTCTAGGACAAGGCATTCTGCCACCTCTTTGCCACTTCCCACTGCCTGTCTGTGCCTCTAGTGATAATTCTCAGCCTTGTTTATTTCTGAAAAGCTGTAGTGATCCAGGAAGTGGTACGTTAAGATTTAAATGAGAGTGGAAGAAATGCATCATCTATTTACTGTATGCATTTATATTAAAAGAATCAAGTGGTTGCTGTCAGTGAATGAGGAAGAAGTCAAAAAGGTAACAAAATTCGACACATGCTTCATAAGAGGTGTCAAGGGTAACAAGAAACAATTCAGTAAATGCTTTGGGAATAAGGGGAGAAACAGGATAAAGATTTGGTTTGGCATTTAGCAGGAAGGAAAAATCATCAACCAAAGAGGCGTTGAAAGAGCTCCAATTGTTATCTTTTTATCAGCCTTCCTGTAGGGCGAGCTGCAGTTCAGTTGCTAGTACAATTAGTGCTAGCCAGAAGATCGTGTTCTACCTCTGAGAAAGAACAGGTTACAAAGTATATCCATAGCCCACATGGCAGACCAGAAAAGCAGAAAAAAGAGTTGATTGGGGTTTTATTTGTTTATTTACTTGTTTTATTAAGTGGAGGTAGAAAGAAAGACATGTCAGGAACTACTGTCTCAGTTTCTGGAAATAAAACTGGAAGAGATAATCTAGAGGTAGCATGCACTAGATTTGAAAGAACCAAGGAGATAACTAGCCAACAATATTTTTTTAAGGCTAAAACATTTAAAATCAAGCTAATTTCATTCTTGGAGAAGGTTATGAGTCCTAGAGATAAGGAAAAAACAGCAGGTATCATGTAATTTATCCGTAGTCAGGCTTTGGACTACACTGTGCTTGACATTTTCACAAACAAGTTAAGCAGGTGAAAGCTGATGAAACTTCTTTTGGGTGAATGAATGCTTAGAGTTCTTTTCAGATTGGAAGGCTGTGCTGGGCGCAGTATCATTTTGTTCTTTGTCTAGTACTGCTCAGTGATTTCATTAGTGACTTCAAGAATGGGGGACTTGAAGATGGTATTTAATGAAGAGGTCTTTCAAGTATGGTAAAGAATGGGATTAGGATTTAGAAATATCTTGACAAATTATAATTAAAAAAAGGATCTGGAAGATACAGTCACATTTTAGAAAAATAAGTACAGAATACTTTGCTTAGGAGCAATCAGGGAGAGGGGGCAGATAAGTTCTGGAACAATTGGCAAGGTAGTCATTTTGCAGATCTGAGGGTTGTGGTGAGTCACCTGCTGAATCAGCAGTGTCGTGCTGTTGCAAAATGGCAAGCTGGGATTTATAAACAGGGTTACAGCTTGTAAGACTCATAAAATATTCCTTTTGCTTTGTGTTGTTAATGTCTTTAGCAGAATACAGCATCAAAAAGTAGATTAGTTGGAGAAGAAAAATCAAAATGATCAGAAGTCTAAAAATCTTCTATAGAGGAAAAAAGGAGAGGTTTAAATAATCTAGGGAAGAGATTACTATGTATTATGTTTTAAAAAAAAAATAAAATCACATGAATGAAAGAGATGTTGAAGGAGTAGTGAGTAATCTTTTCTCTGTCTGCTTGAAGAGATTCAGAAAGCCTCTGTGTCCTATACTAAGTGAGGTGAAATCTAATTAAAATGTCATGGAGTATTTTTCAGCACAAATCAAGTTGAGACCCCAAATTCATGTATTTTTATTTAGATATATACAATATGGGAAAGTACCCTTTTAACGGTAAATTTGAGATCCAGATTTCATGTTGCTTGATAGTATCTTGCAGCTAAGCTGATGGTCACCAAGTTCTTACTTTGTTTTAATTTCAGATAAGTATGAGAGAGAAGCCAGTAAATACTGGAATGAATTTTACAAGACTCACAAAAATAACTTCTTCAAAGATCGCAATTGGTTGTTCTTGGAATTTCCAGAAATCCTTCCAGAAAAAATGAGAGAACAGTTGAAAATAGAGGAAAGACCTTCAGAACACACAAAAATAAATATTACCAACAGTTTTTCACATGAGAAAGAAATGTTTGAGGAAAGAGAAAAGTATTGGAAGAAAAATACTGGAGATGAATCCACTTCTGAAAAAGGATATGTGTATAATAAAAAACAATCAAAATCGATTGCTGACAGCCCTCAGGGTAAAAACAACGAGGAAGAAATTAATATGCAGGAATCCTTCCCTGGTGGCTGTGCCACTTACAGAATATTAGAGGTAATGCACTGCAAATGCTCTGTCCGTTGCATTCAGCTCCACCTACTTACTCAGAAGCCTGATAAAGATGCTTATCAGCTATCAAGAAAGTAAACAGTTAGAATTGAACTACTATGTTCACTTAAGGCAGAAACTTTCAGAGCAACCCAGGACCTGAGCATTGCTTCCCATTTAAAATTTCTTCCAAATCAGAATTGGGTGGTCAGATTCCATTTTCACTGGAAGTTGTTTCTTTTTCCTACTGAAAATTCTGTCTCAAAGTGCTTTGTTCTCCATACTTGGCAAATTCTTGCCAAATGGTAATGTTGGATAAAGCTATTGCATTTCCCTATGCAGTTTGGGTGCTGGAGTCTTTCCTAACTTTGGAAAGAAATTGAGGAGAAATGTGATCATAGCAGAAGTGATTTGAGAACTGTGGTATGAGCTATTTATACCTTTTCTGCCTTCAAGTCTAATGAGTCCTACCTACTAACTAATTTATGACAAAAAGGAATATGTTTTATTTGCTCATTTAACTTTTTTTGTGTGTGTGTCTTCTGATCTTAGGTTGGTTGTGGTGCTGGCAATAGCGTATTTCCTATTTTGAAAGTTCTATGGTATGTAGTGCTGTATTTTCAAATATTAAAGTTCTGTTTTTCTCCATTTTCTTCAAGTGTTTGTGCTAGGCTAGAGTGGCAGGAAGTGCTGACTGCATTGCTTTACAGCCCTGAAATTCTTAGTGCATGGAGATGACAGACAATGTTGCTAACATCAGTACAAGATACCCCGTACACTGCTCAGCCCCCAGTGTCGAAGGTGTCATGTCTGTTGACAAGTTTTTCTCTTCAGGAGCATTCAGGCTGACTTACTGTAGTTAATCACAGACAAATTAAATACCTTCCTGTACTTTATCTTATATGTTACTTTAAAGCTGTCTGATATTGCTCTAAAGAGCCAAAACCAGACAGTAAATAATAATTGGTCTTCTGGTGATAAGTTCTGTTATTTGTTTTTCATTTGGTTGACATACTTAACCAAATTGCTTCAGGTTTTAGTGGCAAGGAAGGCACAAGTCCTGTATTGGACTTAATTCTCTGAAATGTTTAAAGTGCTTAGCTTCTGGTTTTAGAAAGCACTATTATGACAGCATGTCCTCCCTTCCAGGTATGCAGGAAGGTTTTATTGAAAAGACTGGATATATATCATGGATTGAAATAGATTTCTTTTTATTCATACCTCCAGGAGATCATGTACAGCATAGTTCATTATTCTGTAAATGATTTCTGATTGCTAGCATCACAACAGTGAACAAATCCTGCATTTTGCAGATATGAAAACAGAGAGCAGGAGGAATCAAGTGATACACTGGGGTCATAAATGAAACCTATTAGTGTCAGCAATGCATTTTCATCCCAAAACAAACACTTTGCTTTAGAGAGCATAGTCTGAAAGGGAAGCCCTGTATCATATGAGTATCTGTATTAAAAAAGATGAGACAAACTTTTGTGTTTTTCTTGTGGGAGGCATTAGTCATGGGTTGGCATTTCTGATTGTTAATTAATCCTGAAGACCTCTATTTCATGCAAATCCTTCAGTCAGCCATATTGGTAAGTACATCGGACAACATACACATTTATCTTGTGCACTACCTGATGGAATCATCTTTTGCTTCTTATCAAGTTTGGCTTTAAAGCATAGTTGAATTTTTTTTTAATTTAATAATATAAAAATTGTCTTTTGTATAAATTAAAAAAAGCTGGAGTAGATACCTTAGCTACAAAAATATTCCACTTAAGTTTGTAAAATAACTCTTATGCAGGTTTTTCATGCTCCCATAAAATTTAAGCTGCTTTTTAATACAAAGCAACATGAAATAGACATCCACATTGACCTATGTCTTTGTTTTAAGTTGACTTTTCACAGAGCTACTACTCTGCTTTCTGAAAATATATGAAAGTAATATGAAAGTAATAACATTTTAGCAAGTCAATAAGTCAATTAGGTAATTAACTTGACCTTTGTCAAGGGACTGTCTGGGTCCGAAGCCTGGCTGCTTGTCCTCATCCATGATAAATACTTTAACTTACCAAATGTCATTGTGATTGCAGAGCTCATAAAAGTTCTGTTCTGCAACAGAGAATATATTTGGTCTGTAAGGTTTCTCCTGAAGGGACTTCAAACAGAGATCACTAATTCCCTTTCTAAAGAAAGAGTCTGTTCAGAATCTCAAATAACTTTTAGGAGAGGTGAGCTGGTCGTGAGTTGATGATGAAATCATCCTTCAATGCATTTGGTGGGGAGGCTTTGCTGAGTTGCTTCTAAATGAGTTTTTTGGAAGTGAAAGAAAAATCTCCTTCAAGTTACTAGTTGAATGTTGTCTATTGAATGGTACAAGGAAATTTGCAGCTGCCTTTGTTGTGTATGGGAAAGGAAGGCAAGACAATTCTACAGGAAATTCTTATTCATCTTTGCTTACAAAACAAATTGAATAATGGAAGGAAACAATCAATACAATTTAATTAAATCTGAACCACAGCAAGGTGGCATATGGGAACCCAAACATCTACGGAACTGTGGGTGACTTTTGCAAACCTATCCCCCTCAACATCATATTACCAATTAGACTGCATACATGAGTTAATGATAAAGATTTAGTCCAATGCTTTTTGGAAGAAAATGTGACCTATGATGTGCCTTTTATGTAATATAACACCAGGATGTTGTCTTCACTCCTGGCAGCCCTCTGTGACCTTCTTTCTTTTCCTTTTCACTTCCTAGCCCTGACAAGGCTGTAATCCTCCTTTTTATACTTACTCTGTTGGTATTCTTATGAATTTATCTGCCCTATTGGCTCATTACAACCTGTACAGCTTTCTGTGTCCATCAAGGTGTGCTTAATTAAACCAATGGAAAGTCCCAAAGGGCCCTCTGTAGTTCCAAGAGCACTGATGTAGACTTTCATCTTTTACAATAATAATTTTTTAACTGATGGTGGTTTGTTTTTCTAGCAGTGCACCTGGAACCTTTCTGTACTGTTGTGATTTTGCTTCAGGAGCAGTGGAGCTCGTAAAGGTAATTCATGTGCTTGCTTTAGAGTACTTTTTAAGCCTGTAATTCAGGAGGATGCCAGGAAGCCGTCTTCATGAAAAAGAATGTGATAGCTTTGACAACTTTTAACTGAAGTTTTCAATATTCCAAAGAACAAAGTCTTACTCTGTACAAGAGGAATGAATACCATCAGTGAGCTTGCTTCTCAGCTTGAGTAAGATACCGGGCAGAATAGGCTTTTATGAGACATGTTTTACAATGCTGAATAATTGAAGAAAAAAGTTTCTTGAGTCATAGTAAACGTATTAACTACTACTGTTCTCTCTGTGCCTCTTTTCATCTTTTTCCCGACAGTCACATTCGTCCTACAATTCAGCCTGGTGTTCTGCCTTTGTTCATGATGTGTGTGATGATGCTTTACCCTATCCTTTTCCAGATGAGATCCTGGATGTCATTCTCCTTGTCTTTGTGCTCTCAACTATTCATCCTGACAGGTAAATGAGGACTAAAGGGCAAAGCAAATAGGTTAAATCTCTTTTATCCCTAGAGGTTTTCAAGAATATCAAAGGAGGATGATGAATCTTTAATTTATTATTCAGCAAGCTACAGTATTTACAAAAAAACAAGGTATTTTAAATGACGTTTTCCAGAGAGAAAAGCTGGTCAGACTAATTCATTAGTGAGCCTCCTGTCTCCATCAAATAAAAGGGGCATACTGTAACTAAATACATTCCTATTAACAGTGGCAGTGCTTCAAGAAACAGACCTCTAGTCTTCCAGAAGAAAATTATTTCAGTGATCAAAGATGAGCGTTCACAACTTAACACGTTACAGTATGTTGATGGAGGTTTAGTTTGCTGACTTTCCACGCACAAATGTGTGCATACAGGTCTTTTAAACTGAAATACATTCAGAATTCTGTAATGTGTTTGGATTTGAGGAAGTTAATCTAATTTTCATGCATAGTGTTATGTTGGGAGCTGTTAACCTTGTTATTAATAACTCTCAGTGTCTAATGAACTGAATATTATAACCATTAAAGCTGGTTGATTTTTAAAATGTCTTTTTTTTTTTTTTTTTAATGAGAAAAGTTCAAAAGAGTGCATGCAAGTTAAATGACTTGACTCTTCCTTTAACCAGATTATTTAAGAGGAAATACACGCTCTCTGTGTGATAATACACTTACTACTTTCAGAATGCCATTAAAATGGGCTTGGCAAGCAGGATAGTATTTGCCTAAGTCTCAACACTGTTTCCCTGTCTAAGTTACTAATGATTAGCTTTACAAAAAGTCTTTCCCATATAGGATATTGCTCCTTCCTGTTTGTTCAGAGATGAGCACATGAGTCATGCAAAGCCTGGATCCAGAATTCAGAAACAACTCAAGCAGTAGATTTCAGATCTCTGTAACTGCAGTGATGCTGCCAGCAAAAAATTGGACAATAGAGGCTCATTCATTCAATCACTTAGTCTGTAAAAGCAATAATAAGATGTTCTCTCAGAATTTCAGTGTTTTCCTGCTTATCATTTGAGTACGAATGTGTTAATTTTTTCTCCCCATGTCTGTATCCGAAGGCTGACATGGATGTTTTTGCATACATATGTACACATACTCAAATATATTTCCTGTCTGATAAGATCCACTTTCCAAAAATTTGTTAGGCATTGCTATCTCAAAGAACTAAAGTGACTGCATGAAGATGAATATAATCTTTTTTGTTTAGTTTCCATTTTTCCTGAAAATGTTGAAAGTAAGAGAAGAAAAGGAAAACCAAGAGGACAATGCTGCAGAACTTAGGTTTTTTGGAGATCTGAAAAATATACATGAGAAACACATTTGTGTTCAGCACAATTGTTACTTAGTGATTTCTCCACAGCTCACGTATTTAGTTTTTGCTGATTGCTGCTTTCGTACCTCGTAGGTAACACACTTCAATTCTGCTACAAATCACCACTAAAAGTTGCTCAAAGAATTTGAAAAAATGTGAATTTGAAAGAATGTGAATTAATGTGATCCAGTCCCAGAAGATCGGATCTAGCCCTATCAGATCCGATTTCTGAAAGCGCTTTCACTTTTTATGTGCATTTTTTTGTGTGCACAGAACTTACACTTACGTAGACAGTCTGTTGTTCTGTGTGCAGTTACCTGTCTAAGAGTCATTTTTTCTTAGGTTGTGTTGCCTGTTCTGTCTGTTGCAGTATACATGACTGCCTGTGTTCAGCATTGGCGAAGAGGAGAACTATTAAAGCATTTGACTTCCTTTGAGGAAATTATATGCTCAGAAAGTGTATGCTTACTTTATTTATTTAGATATGCTGCTGTTTTCTGCTGAATTACTTCCTAATCATGTCTCTTAAAAATCAAGGCAGGATATCTGCACTGCAGTTGCTAAGGACTGAACTGTGCTAATGGCTGCGTTTTGAAGGGGTAGGCCACCTGAGAGACAGGCATAGTATAAGGATTTTCTATTAGTAGGCAGTAATAGTATGCTGATTTTGCATAGTTAAGGATGACTAGCTCTTCTTTAGCTCTTTTAAGATATGAATAGAAAAGCATCCTGTCTTTGTTATTCATTCATTTACCATTCTCTCTGGCTCCATGTCTTCTTTGTGATCTGTCTGTGTCCATGTGGAAACGAAGGGTTGAGTTAGGCTCGTGTTCTTATCTGCCTTGCAGCCTGCAAAGCGAAAACTGCCTTTTTTGGTCTGTCATAAATGTGGAAAACATGATTTCCACATTCATGAAATGTTCTGAAAGAGTGAGGCAAGCTGAACGCATTATTCATTAGTAAAATATTTTGCAAATACAAAGAAATGCCAATGAAAATGCCCTTGCCTAGTGAAAGAGCACTGTGTGTTACTTCTGTCATAGATACTGACACATAGATACTGGCTGACGTGGTCTTGGTAAGGAAGGGCTGATCATAGATATGATCAAGACACACAAACTTGTCAGCGTTTTGGAGGATGCAGACTTTCTCCTCTGATTTGCAAGAACTCTGGATGGAATCCTACTGAATTCCTCTCCTGAGCTACTACTCATGTTTGTCTTTACATTCTCTATCATTAGGTATTCAGATACTGACTGTGTGCATGATCAATACCTCAATAAAGAAATCAATTTGTATCAGCCTTCCATGTTCCTGTTTTTACTTTGTACTGTAAAAAGGCTTAGTCTAGTTCACCAGTGCCCATAGCTAACTGTTTGTTGTTGTGTGTATATGCCTGACTCATATGGCATATATTTGGAAACTGTGTTTTAATCTATACCTGAGATTCTATTGAAGCAAAGGCCAGGGATTCATTTTTTCTTTTGAGTTTGTATTCTCTAATATTCTCATATAAATATTTTTTTCTTGGTAGTTGGTGTATTTTTTTTCTGATTGTTTTTGTAAAGAGTTCTTCCTATTTGCTAATGTTTGGCCTTTTTGTAGAAAATATATAGGTACTCCTCAGTGTAGCCTCAGAAATCTGTGTATTTTCCAAGTATCTAGGAAAAAAAAAAACCCAACATTGACTTTGGCAGATCTCTCTGATATCTCATCTATTTTCTAAGGATGCAACAGGTTGTAAATAGATTGGTTAAACTACTGAAACCTGGAGGGATGCTGTTATTTCGAGACTATGGAAGATATGATACAGCTCAGCTTCGTTTTAAAAAAGGTAATTCCTGAATGCTTTTGTAGCTTACTTTTTATTTTTAGTGTTTTTTTGGGGAAAAAAAAAAACAACAAACATCACTTTTTTGTTCAAATTTCTTAGGTCATTGCTTGTCAGAAAATTTTTATGTACGAGGAGATGGAACCAGAGTATATTTCTTTACCAAAGGTATGAAATAGCTTATTTGTATAGAAAGTCTTGAGTGTCTCTCAAGATTATTTGGGTTATAAAACCTCATCTCTAAAAATAAATTTAAAGAAGGCTTTTATGAGCCTCTTTTCTAATCCTTTGCTTTTACAAAACCCAAAGCTAGGAGTTGTGAGGAAGTAATTCCTTTTAAATGTGTATGCTCATTGCATCTGAGGTTCTATAAAATTTCTTTCAGACATCACTGAAATTTCTCTTGGAATAAGCATCTTGTGTCTAATGATATTCTCAAGTTCTGTTATTGAAAGAATAAGAAATACATTTAATGATGTGTCAATGTATTTTAAATGTAATTTTAAAAGTTGAGAAACATGCTTGGAAGGATAGCTAGCTAGTAGCAGTGCTCAGATATCTTGTTCTGCTGTGTTGATCTGAGTTCCTGGACTGCTCCTTCTGCAAGAAATGTGTTGTGATGAATACTACTGCTCATTGCCATTCCATTCATTCAGTTTTGTTGGCAACCAGCTTAGACTGGAGCACTATACCCCACCTGCTGACAACTAATTTTATTTTGTTTTTATTTATTACAAAAATTCTTCGTTTGAGAAAACAGAAGAGGTACGGAACATGTTCAATTCGGCTGGATTAACTGAAGTACAAAATTTAGTTGATCGTCGATTACAAGTAAATAGGAAGAAAAAAGTGAAAATGCAGCGAGTTTGGGTACAAGGCAAATTCCAAAAACCATTGCTGCTATCTCTTAATAATCCTGAAGAAACCACCAGTAGGCATCCTTACGGATAACTGTACTGTTAACTTAAGAAAAAGAAACAGATCTGAGTAAGTATGTTTCATATAAATCTTGTGTTAGCCTCTGAAAAAGAGCAATACATTGAATTGAAAAGCTTTTCCTGATATTTTGTAAATGTGTGTATTTGAAAATGTTCTGAATAATATGTGCATTTCTAACTCCTTTATGCATGCAATGAAAGGAGATGCATTCATCTAGTCATATCTGTGACCAGGCATTTTATTTCCTTTCATATGAATAGCAACTAAGTATAAGCATATGAGATTTCACAGTATGCAAGATGTTCTTAAGTTTTAATGAAGCAGAATTGTTTCTGAGATTTTCAGAATGTCTGCTCTCACTCTCACTACAAGCTGTGCTGTGTTAATTTCTTCTAACCACTGTGTGTCTTTCAACTGTATTTCCTCTTTTGGGGGAAATTCCTTGTTACATAAACAGCAAAGAAAAGATCTTTTTCTAATTTGCATGAAAGTTATTTCATACTAACTGTGTGCGATATGCATAGGTATCAGATTGTCATCCTCTACTGTGACTTATTCCTCTGAAGTTTCCACTTTCCATCTACGTGCTTATCAGAAACAGGCCAAACAGCTAAGTGATGTGTTATATTTCTACCAGTACTATAGGTAGTAAGCTGAAAATCATGTAGAAAAGAATGGCCACAATGCCAAAATAGTGCTGACCACACCTCTTTTCACGCAATTCAGGATATAGCTAGCCTCTGTGGCTGCAAGCATGCACTGCTGTGGGCGTGATGGTGATGGGTTAGTGGTTGGACTTGATGAACTTGGAGGTCTTTTCCAACCTTAACAATTCTATGATTCTTTTGGCTCACATCTACCAGAACACCCATGTCCTTCTCTACAGGGCTTCTCTCAGTTAGTTCTTCTCCTGGTCTGTACACGTCTATGGCCTAAGTGCCTTGGCCTCATTGAACCTCATTAGGTCCAAATGGACTCACCTTTTGAGCTTGTTCAGGTCCCTTTGGATGGCATTCCTTTCTTCTGTTGTATCAACTGCACCACTCAGCTTAGTGTTATCAACAGACTTAGTGAAGATGCGCTCAGTCTCACTGTCACTGGTCAAGATGTTGAAATGCTTTTTATAGATCCTGTGGAGAAAGAGGACTACACTGGTATGTCAAGTGCTTTTAAGGTGAAAACCAAAATGCAGTCGTTGCTTTCAGAGGTACACAGTGGTGCTGAGGAAATTGAGCTACTACTAAAATATACTATTTCTGACGTTTAAATAAAATTTTATAGAAGGAGGAGAGGGTTAGGGTTAGGAGAGGATGAGAAACAGGTGAATGAATAAAATAATTGTATTACTTCAACAAGGATATAGAATTTATATAATCTGTAACATGCATGCAGTTTTGAGTCCTGTTAATACAGTTACATTCTCAAAGTCTCTTGTCTTTTGTCTGAAGGGTAAACGTAACACCTAACAACCTGTTGTTTTGGAAGTTGCTAGATGCTGTACTAAGTAAAGCTGGTTGTCTTCTGGAAAGAAAGAAATTGTCTAAATTTACATGCTAGGTATTTTCATCCCTTTTGAAAAGATGAAGGACCTGCATAATTTCCAAAAACCCAGTTATATTTCAAGAATGAGGTGCAATAACAGGCTTCAAGGGTAGGATCTGATCCTACGTTTCTTGTGTATTCTAAACTCCCTCTAGAATAAGAAACTTGTTTATGAATTAAGTAATTTAGGAAGCTTGGGTTAGAAAGGTTTTTATTTAGCTTTCGCATCCTGTAATCTGGAATAACTGCTTTGTGGTATAGATAATACGAAAGGTTAAAATACAGCTGTTTCTTCAAACTACCAGTCGTAGGCTTCTGCAGCATATAAATTAAAATCTGCTTATATTTTAAAGAAATTGCTACCCTGTTCAACTTGAATTTTTAATTGTGACTTTTGAGTGTCCATAGCTCTGAGTCTTCTATGAAGCATTTTCAGTTGCAGAATTTGCCAGGATGTGATGGTGATGATAAGCTCCTGAGCATTGTACAGTCTTATTCATGTGTATGATTTAGATTTTCCATATGTAGAGGCTAATGAAATGTTTGCTTTGTCTCTTGCACTGATATGTTGATTCTGGCAAGATTTTAATATGCTATGTTGTTATTTTAACAAAAATATTACATCTGTAGAAACCAAACCCTAAATTCTTGTATGGCCTTGAGCAAAATTTAGTGTTTCTCTTCCAAGTCTTGCAGCTCAAGTATTGGCAATCAGTTTTAGAAGAATGGTGTAATGCTGTGTGTTCTAGAAGTAGTAAGATCAGCTACTATTTGTAAGAGTGTGTATAATGTCTGCTGCAGAGAGAATTGTAACTAGGCTGAACTATTGTGAGACTGATGCAAGGGGAAATGGACAGTATCATTTCTGATAAGTCCTACCCCCAGCGCAAATGTTTTTCTGCATTTTGGTTTGTGAAATTTTGCTTTTCAAAAAGCTTAACCAGGGACAAATTTTTAAAATATTTTCAAAATATCTGTGTTATTTTTTTAGCTGGGAGAGCCAATACTATAATATCCCTATAATATAACAATAGAATTACTGAAATGAAGAAGAGAACTGCAGACAACTATATAAAAAATAAGGTTACGGGAGAAAGAAAAATAAAGGCATTGCAAATAGAAAGTGCCCAGTGTAGAATAAGGTTGTAAATTTCACTTTTGAAATCTGAAATTACTCCTTTAATCAGATATATGCCTGGACTCTCTAGTTACATAAATTTATGTAAGTATGTTATAGGAATAGTAAACATTTTTATTGCAAATGATTGTGGATGGGCTTTTGGTGGTTGGTTTGCTTTTTTTTTTTTTTTTTTTTTTCTGTTTAGTAATGCTTCTTGTGCTTGTGGTGGTAAAGCACACTTGTGATTATATGTAAATACAGAAAGATGATCTTGAGTTTTGGCTTTACTGACTTTGGCTTCCTTTATTAATAGAGTGTATCTTTTGCCCACCTTCACTGATATGCATTACATTTATGTATGAGATTTATGAGAATTGCACTTTATTAGTTGTTCTTTTATATCACGTAGTTTGTAAGCAAGTACAAGACAGTTACATACTGTTTAAAAAAAAAAAAAAGCCAACTTTCTTTCCTATATTATTTCTGAGGTATCTAGTCAGCAGCAGTTCATGTAATTTTTTTTTTTTTCCCCAGCAAAACCGAGGCAGGTGGTTGTGCAATATCTACAAATCCACCAAATCTGAAGAGGACAAAGGAAATGCAGGGCAGGCAAGGAAACAGCTGGAGCTCTAGACACAGGTTTCTTCTTGTACTGGAAACCGTTTTGTTTCTGTTCTGTGTTTGGGTTGCATCTTTGCTATCTGCAGATTCTACTGTTTTATGATGGAAAAAACAACCTGTAACAGATTATCCTGAAATTCATATAAAAACATATACCAAATACCAATTGCGTCAATTAACATAAATTTTTCTACTACACTTTGATTTATGATGTGGTCTTTGTTCTCTTCTCTGGTGTGCTCTTTGTTATATTGACATATCCTTCATTTCCTCTTTTTCTTGTTTGTGGTAGGCAGTTGTTTCCACAGGGGAGTTTTATCTCCTGTACAGAACAGAGTGTTTTTTCTTTCTGTATGAATGCAATGAGTAGTGTAGATGCTCAGCTGGTGCAGCAGTACTGGTTGCTTTCTATTAGTTTAAACTAAAATTTGCCTTAGTCTATGGCAGCAATAACAGTAGATGTTCTTGCATCAACTATACTTCTGTCTAATGGATAGCAGAACAGCCTTAAGAATAAACAATGTATATTATTAAAAATACTTAAAATTTCAATTGTCAATAATGTAGGTAACTTTGATTTTCAATACCTAAACTTTTTTACATGTTTGGAACAAAGATATTATATGTGAGTTTTTTTCATTTTGTTTTGTGTGTTGTTTTTTTTTTTTTTTTTTTTTTAACATCAAGGATATGCCAGTTGCCCCCCCTCTGCCAGAAACTGGACAAGTCTGTCTTATAAACACAATTATCATTAGTATATGCTCAGTAAGAATTACTTGGGTTGTTATGGGCATCTCTAGCAGGTTCTTTGCTGTACCTCTCATTTGGGCATGCCTGGCCTTGGTACTTAAACTGAGAAGGGACCATTGTGCTCCCTTTGCTGATGGTGAGCAAAAAAAAGAAGAGCTTGACTTTCTGAAAAACAAGAGTCAGGCAGGAGGGTAGGAAGATGAGGATGGGGCTCAAAGGCAGACAAGAAAAGGAATCTTTCCTCTGAAAAGTGGCATAAGAAGTAAGCTTGGGTAAACTAACAAAACAAGAATAATGAGATGTAGAACTGAATGGGAAAAAGCAAGAGAACATAACATCGTGGACAACACACAGGAAGTGTGTAACAAGGCAGTGAGTAAATTGGGCCTAGGAAGTAGTGAAATAAAATGAAGGATGTGAAGGGAAAAAAGGGACTGATCTGTCATATGAATAGTGAAACCTGAGTAAAAAAAGAAATTTGAATAAGGATGTTAGGTGGAAAGACCTATCTTCAAGATCTACGTCTTCCACATGCTACTATATTTCTGTATCTTCATGGAATATTATGGGCTTTGTCTTTCATCCAAACACACACAGTGCATTCCAGTTTATTCCAGGCTCCATCAAAAGAGGGGTGGCCAGCAGGGACAGGGAGGTGATTGTCCCTCTCTACTCGGCTCTTGTGAGGCCCCATCTGGAGTACTGTGTCCAGGTGTGGAGCCCCCAGTACAAAAAAGAGAGGGAGCTGTTGGAGAGGGTCCAGAGGAGGGCCATGAAGATGACTAGGGGACTGGAGCACCTCCCCTATGAAGACAGGCTGAGGGAGCTGAGCTTGTTCAGCCTGGAGAAAAGAAGGCTGTGAGGGGGCCTCATTGCAGCCTTTCAGTACCTAAAGGGAGCCTATAGAGGGGAGGGAAATCAACTCTTTGAAAGGGTTGATAACTGCAGGATGAGGGGAAATGGTTTTTAGTTGAGGAGGGGAGATTTAGGTTGGATGTCAGGGGGAAATTCTTTACAGAGAGAGTGGTGAGGTGCTGGAACAGGCTGCCCAGAGAGGTTGTGAATGCCCCGTCCCTGGAGGTGTTCAAGGCCAGGTTGGATGGGGCCTTGGGCAGCCGGTCTGGTCTAATGTTGAATGGGGAGGTTGGTGGCCCTGCATGTGGCGGGGGGGGTTGGAGATTCGTGATCCTTGATGTCCCTTCCAACCTGGGCCATTCTGTGATTCTGTGTGATTCTGTGTCTGCAGCAGCACAGGTAGGTTTATGATGCACCTGCTTTTGTTTTTTCCTTAGGGAACTATGTTTTTACCTTCTTTCGTGTAGATCTCTAAAGTGACAGAAGATACAATCCTCACCTCCTGGGAAGCGAATACAAAAGAATAACACTAGTCTGCATACCCTGACTGTGCTCAATCAAGGTAGGACAATTAAATTTACTCCATATGTTCTAAAGTTGTCCCATTTAAATCAAGACCATATCTGCAGATTATCACCTTGAAGTACCTCCCAATCTCAGTTTCTGTTATACCTGCATCTGTTCAACAGAACTTAATTGAATTTGTATGAACTAGAAATACAGCTTAAAAGAAAAACAGCAGAATAGTCTTTAGGCTTTATCTGAGATTGCAACAGTTTAGAGAACAAATCTGTTTGTTATTTTAGAACAATAGACACCGAAATCTCACAGTTATAGAGTAGTACTTATCCAAAGGGCTGGAAATGTAGGTAATTCTTTGAAGTATAATATACACCATCAAGAATATTAGTGTGACAAAGCTTTGAATGCTCACTGTTTGCCGAAAGTGTCTTATCAGTTGTTGCCATGAAATGGGACTAAGCAACAAGACATTCGCATTTTCAGAGTATGCTTATTTGGTCAGGTTACTGCAGTTTTGAAGGGAATGTGAAAAGTAAGAACGCAAGGGAATTAGTTCAGTGTCTTGTAGAACAAATTGATGGCATACAATTTAATACATGCTCAAAGAATAATCTGAGTATTCACGTGTATTGATGCTAAACAAACCTTAAGTTCATTAAAAACACAAACTTGGTGTATGCTTCTAGTTATAAAAACAAGCAAAATATAAAGATATCTAAATAGGACATAAAAATAGAATGCTATACAGCTACTAAGTAAAATCTCTGTAGCATATCCTGTTCAGATAGAAAAATGTTATGTAAATAGATGGTGAAAATTCCTAGAAACATGAAAAAATTCCAGATGAATGCAGGTTAGGGAAATGAATGATAAGGGATATGAGGATGGCATAGAATGTGGTATTTTAGTAATTAGAAGGTACAGTTCACCCCTTTACACCACACAAAATCACAGTAAATTACTCAAATTAGCAGGCATCGAATCTACATTGATAGAATAAATATATGTAGTGTATCCTGCTATGTACACTACAAGTAGATAAGGAATCATAATGTTCATAGGGTTAAGTGATCAATGGGTTATTAAAAGCCACCTACATTAGATCTTCCATTTTTAGTTTTATATTGAGTGAGTGAAAGGGAAAATCTGCATTTACTATTTAAGACTTCAAAAAACGTTAAACAAGAAAACAAAATGAACTACCAAGCAGGCTAAAGTGTTTCTTTTTACCTTTTGTGAAATCCTAATATTGCTCAGCAACAGAACTGAAGAATAAACCTGAATACTAAATTGGTTGAGTAGGCACACTTTATTGAATCTAGAGAAGATAGAGGGAGAGAAATAAGTAGGAAAAGAACCAAAAATGAACATACTAATTGGCATGACAACATGTAGTTCTGTAATAGCAGCTACTATTTTATATAGGATGACATGTTCAGTGCAGTGTCTGAGACATCACTCAACACACTTTACTTTCACTTACGACAGTTTCTCTTTAAATTGGTATTTAGGCTAGGCAAAAGCCAAGTAAACGTAACTGGTTTGCTAAAAGAACATATGATTGAATAATTATACTTGGATCTGACTGGCTGTAATGGAGGGCTTCAATGCCGAGCCAACATTCTTTTTTTTTTCTTTAGCATCAGGCACACTCTGTCCTCCATTTCCTCCCAAATAGCAACTGCTTCTCAAATGGAGAAACCCTAGTCCTTCATTCTACATTAAGGAAAGCTTTGCCATTTGAAATGGCTCTGTTTGCTGCATATCCTATTAAGCACAGTAGTCAGATGTCATTCTGAAGAATCGGGCAGCTTAGTTTCCAATGACATTGATTACATTCAACAGTGAGAGGGTGAGAGAATGGTGGGTGGAGAAGCGAAAAGACAGTGCGAGGCATTTCGAGGAGGTTTGTACTCCAGCACTCACATGTGGGTGGCAGTCCCTGAGATACAGTTTTTTCTATGAAGCAGAGCAGAGTTGAATTCTCTACACTCATTTCAGGTTTAATCTCCATCCTCACAAACGAGCAGTACAGCCTTTAGTCACACATGTGTTCATTTAAAATGAAGAGAAAATGACAGTAGCAAGAAGCTGCATCTTTAGAATGGTTTTCACAGAGAGACCCTGGCATGTTAATCCCTGGCATAAATGGGTGTAATTCTCAATGACAATGCTAAGCTTGTTTGCACAGAGGCTGAGCTAAACCCAAGGATGATAAACAATGCTGTTTAAGATCAATCATTTAATCCTTTTAAAATTTTTGTCATCTAACAACCAAAGATGTTTGTGTTAATAAAAGATGGTGTGACAAAGCTATGATTGTCACTGAGCATGATTTGCTTTGTGATTAAAAAAAAAAAAACCAACAGCAAAACACATACATTGATAATCTTATTCCAGATCAACGTTTCATCTTGTTATTCAAGAGCGAATATTAGTGAGTTGAATAAATAATTGGCAGTAGTTACCAAACTGTGAAGTAAGGTCTGTTTTTTAAATTGGAAAAAGTGTGAGCTTGCTTGTACAAGGAGAGAACACTAAAATCACACTGGCAGTAAGTGTGAAAAGCAGGTGAAAAAATGCAGCAGCATGGCAGTCTGAAAAGCATTTAAGTATTATAATATAATTTAAGATTTTTAATCAGCTACTAAACCACGCTCTTTTCTTGCATCAACTAGCTCGAGGCAAAGTATCAAAGACAGTAAATATTTATTTTATTTTGTGGCAATTAATATTTAGTAAAAGGCCTCAAGGTTAAATCTGAAACTTTGACCCAGATTCCTAACGTCATTTATGTCAGTGTAAGACCAGAAGACTCTGAGTCTGTGGAGTTGCTTCAAGATGGAGATTAGTTGTTTTCAATTAGAATCCAGATTAACTGGTGCCTAGTATTCCTCATAAAAATAAAAATGCAAATACTGTAATACAAAAATGTTCCGTCAGTAAGAACATCTACGTTAATCATTAAAAATTCAAGATCGGTTCTGCAGAGACAATAGCTTTTGTTCAGTGCTCATTATTTTGCTCTGAGGGCTGAAATTTGTTTGCTCATGTTTGTGTTTATATTTCAGTGTAGGATATTCAGGTTTTTTTAATTCTAAAACATTTTCTAATAGACAGTAAATACTATGAAACCTGGCAACCAACTGAATAAATGTATTGCTTAAGATAAGTTACTTACAATGAAATTGTTTAGGGGATGTTCATTTCTGCTGTCTCTCAGATTCTTGAGAAAGTACCTGTGAGGAAACATGCCTATTCATAAACATAACATTACTTTCAAGACTAAAGCAACAAAATTTGTGAAGATATGGTTTTTAAAAATGAGAGGAAAAAAAATGGCTTTTAAAATGCATTTTCAGAAACTGAAAATGTTTCCCCATCTTTTTAAATTTCACAGAAGTTTGTTATTCTGTGACCAGAAAACTCTGTGCATCAGTATTTCCTAAGGAAATACCAGTAAAGCATTTTAATTTAAATTTACACTATACATGGGATCTGATTTTTTCACAGTTCTTTATTCTCCTTTTCTGAAATCAGTCCACTGGATTAAAACAGAAAACAAAAACAATAACACTATTTGAAAGCCACAAATTCTTGGTGGTAATAGAGACAAATATTGAATGTTGTTTCTGGTGGATTTTCCTGCCATCTGTAATATCAAAGTAGGGACAATTTTGTTTGATAAGTTCCCACCATTTTTCTTTTCTTTCAGTAGAGATACACCCTATATATGTTTGTGATAGTTCATATCACTCTCATATTTTTGTTTCCAGCTACTAAACATTAATAAAATTTTTGGAGAGTACTACTATTTCTATTCATAAAGTGAGTAAACAGAAAGTTTACCATAAATCTCCAAAAATAGCTGCAAAAACAGTGACAGCTTCAGGCTTCTTGCTTTTCATCCCCAGCTTACTAGGCGAAATCAGCAATGAACTTTCCTCAGGGGAGCCTAAAGTGACCTTTTTTTATCTTAGGAGAGGCTGCTAAGTATTTCAATGCCCCCAAACTAAAAAAAAATACAAAAAGCCAAGTTTTTCTTATTGCCAAAGAGAAGCCTAAAGAGCTTAGATTATATAACTGCTTACACATATAAATGCATATATATCTATGTGTACATATTATGAAATGAGAGCGTAGGGAACATCAGCAGTCCAGGAGGTAGAGACCTGTAAACTGGCAGGTATCCAATTAAAGAGAAGCTCACACATGAGAAACAAACAAACAAAAAATACTTTAAAGAGGCATTTAACAAGAAAAAGAGAAGGCTTGCACGTGCACAAATTCTTCCTAAGACCAATGGTAGCCTGAAGTAGAAGAAGGATTGTTATTAATAGACTTACAGTTTTTCATTTAAAAAGTATAAGCTGTAACTCACATCTGGACTTCCTAAGCACTTTTGTAAAGGGGCCTACTAGTGATCTGGGTTCTTCTGCAGTCAGCATTGGTGCTGCCTTATGAGGAAAGTTCATCATTTGGTTTTAGGTTTCTCAGTGGAGAATGAGAATGATGGAATCTTGTAGCTTTGGCAACCTGCATGGTTTAGTTCTTACCAGTGCTCAAATCAGAGTCTCAGCTCTGCCTTCATTAGTCTTGAAAATTGTCACTGCCATGACAAACATTATTTAATTAAAATAAAAGATCAAGAAAGTGAAATGCAGAAGAATGGCAAGTTTTAGTCTCACAACAAGCACGAAAACTCTCTCAGAATAGCTCATGCACTCTCTATACAGAGAAGGTGGAGCAAGTAGACATTGTGGGAGGTGACAGAAGGATAACCGAATGTAACAAAGATAGCTCCTGTGAAGCCTTAGGTTGGGTGAATTTCAACTGTGGAATTGGGCTGGTTGGTTTTTTAACCTCTGGTGAATTGCTACACTTGGTTGGAAATTTTGCTAAAATAGGACCAAAGGACCTTAACTGGCACTTAAAGTGCTGTCACAGAGGATCAGAGTTACAGAACAGCATTTTCACTTTCACTGTAGATAAATTTGAATAATCCAGCATCATGTAGGACAGTAAGATGAACTCCTTCCTGAAGAAGCAAGGTTTTACATAGGTGAGTCAGTGTTTTCTTATGACAACATTCCATGACTTCTGCACCAGTCTTAGCGGATGAAATGCTTTCTGTGCACGTTCCTGCTTGCACATGTGGGGTGGGGAGGGTAAGGAAGAGAGAAGTCCTGCCTGACTACAGTGATGTCTGGGAGGCTGAACGCTCACGGTGCAGTGGGCAGCAGCTCTGGCTGGGCAGGCCTCCTGGCTCCTGCCTCCCTCCCAGCACTCAGGGCTGGGGCACAGCACATGCTGTGGAAGTGCCATCTCCACACCTACGTGCTGAAGTCTTCCAGGAATGGAAGTCTTGAGCAAACTGAGGCTTGAGGGGTATTGTTGTGGCAGGCCGGGGGGGCCCAGGGATACACCAATGCCTGATTACATTGAGCAGATGCTTCATTATTTACGTTGATTACAGTCCAGGTACACAAAACACTCAGATTTTGAATTAAGGGAAGAATATCTAGCAAACCAAGGAAAGACTATTTTGAAGGAAGATATTACTTTCTGTAAACTTTAATCCTCGCTACCGCACAGTGCAAACAGAGCTAATGGGGTGCAAAACATCTGTAGCTGCATCAGGCTCTGAACAACTAGCCGTTGCATCTAGCATGCAGTGCTGTTGTGAACGGCAGTTCACATGCAGCTGATTGGTTAGTCAGGAAGAAAAATCATTACCCCTACTATAAAATGTGAGCTTCAAAATGAGGCTGTGTCCTCATTTACCATGAGAACTTAAAACATGCAAAGCGTGAGGTTCTAAGAGTTAGTCAGCCATGTATAGGTTACAAAACCACAATGCGTTAGAAACTTGTGTTAAACTTTGAAATGAATATCATTAATTTGCTTCCAACTCAACACCAGTTTGATCAGTTTCGTTCTATCTGGTGTAAGAGTAAGAAAGATGGTTTTACAGTAGGAGAGGATTTCTTCATAATATCACAGCAGGATGTAAACACGAATTTCTGATTAAACCAAGGTGGTCGACTGCACTGGCACTTGTCTTAAAACGTACCATTATAGCTCTGCCGCTGTAGGCTGCTTGGCTAATGGTCTGTGACACCTGCTGAACCCTTATTTCAGTCTTCTCACTCTTCAGGTCCTGAGGTTTTGGTCATCCCTGCTAACTCTCGAGATGCTGCTACATGAGACGAAACTAAATTTACATAGCGCATGCAAATTCATTGCATAAGATATATTTGCAGAGTTCTTTATTGAACATTCCCAATGCTAAAAAGGGCCCACAACAGCTTCCTAGTCAGTGGCCACTATTATGCAGTGTTTTTGCACAAAAACACTGTGCAGTTCCAGTGGCTTTGCACAAATGCAGTCCCTCTTGTAGAGAGCATCTGTAATATGACACTTTTAATGTAACATTGCAGTTTTCTTTCCCATGATTCCTGACTCAAAACTGATACAGCAAATCCTGATTTGCCACCTGGGAAACACGGAAAAATTTTGCCACCGGCTTCACCCAAGACAAGAATTCATCATAAAGAAACTTCAGTCAGATCTGCAGCTATTGTGCATCCCCATCCAGGTAGATCTCTTCACACTTTGATCAGTTTAATAAGGGAGTGTTGTTTTATGAACCTTATTGATATTTGTGGTATTACTCTTTGAGATAGGAGAATGTGGAATCTTTAGACAAAATGACAAGGAGAGAGAAAATCATGCAGCTTTAGTGTGTCTGTGTGTTGCTGCGTTGTTGCACTTGCTTTTTAAAATTAGTTTTTCAGTTCTCCTCAAAAGTGCTTTAGTAAACGATGACTGTCAGTGTTCAGCAGTCACAGGACAAACACAGTCCAGAGCCTCTGCCTGCACCTTGCCGACAAGGCCTGTAATGGGAGCACCATGATGTCTTTGTACAAAGAATTTCACAGAAGGAAAGTAAGCTGTTCTCTGTTCTCATTTATAGATGGAGAGAGAGAACTGAAAAGTAACCTTTATGGAACTCACATGGCACCTGAATAATTTGCATTTAGAAAGGATGTTCCTTTCGTGTTCAATTGGTTTATTGAATCTATGTTAGACTCCTGTAAATGCTGCACAGCTTTTGCATCTCTAGTACTTTTCCTAAATGAAAGACCAACCTTCGGAGTCTGGCTTGGTGTATTACATTTATGTTTAGTCTAAAAGAGGTAATGAAAGTCATTGAACTGAATGGCACAAATTCCCTTGGTCCTTTAGAAGCAGCTTTAATAACAGTCTCACTTGGATCTTCAGAGTGACAGGAATTAACATCATTACTATCCATAGGAACATACTTCTGCTTGAAACAACCCTCACAAATTCATATTTCAGTAATTCTGTGAGGGCAGACTGTAGTGCCAAAGGAGGAAAAGCTAAGTATGTTTCTTATTCCCAAGAGAAATTAAAAAGGAGGCAAGTGCTTTGAGCGGTTAGCAAGTCTCTTCGTGCTGATTATAGTGACCTGCCATAAAGAATTTTGAAACAAAACTCATGTTTCTGAACAAAAATATTTTGAAAATGACTGTGTTAAGGAGCCCTGGGGTAGGCGTGACTGTGGTCTGAGCTTGATTTTTTCCCTATAGTGTATGGATTACATTTAAAATAAATTCTTGCGGCAGATAGTGGTCATGAGAAGTTTTGCTCTGCAGGTCAGACAGAAAGCTATACCAAACGTATAGGACCACCTTGGGTAGCTAAGTGGGAGGGACTTCTGTAACACATCTACCTCAGCCCCTTTCCATTTCAGTGGTGTTGTGTAGATCTCTCAATATCTTATATGACAATTTTATGGACGAGATAGTATTTAACAAGATATTTGAGATATGGAATGTTTGAGGTTTGGTTTGAGATTTCTGTACAAAGGCAACATCTCTTAGAAATCAGACAGAAATCTATTTTGTGAATTACATGGGGGAAGTGCTTTGTGGAAAACACCCATAGTCAAGTCACTAATAGGCATTATAGCTTTAATATTCTACTTAATTTTCCCAGCATCAGACACTCTCAGTAGCATTTCTGAGATTACCTGTAACGACTTGTTTGTACTAAGGCAGGGTGGCAGTTTAGCTGTGACTGCAAAGCGGAAAAAAGTTGATGTCTGTGAACTCTGCACCCACACTCTCTTTATGGCAACTTTGCAATATCTGTGCAATTGGTTTCTTGAGCCAGAGTCTGGAATCTCCTGAGTTACTCTGAACATACACTAGCTTCGGTTATTGGTGTCCCAGCCATGCAGATCTCCTTGCCAAACAATCTGGACAGTTTTTAAATGCTGTATTGACAGAAAGATTATGGATGCAATCCTGTGTTCTGTGCAGCTGCTTAACTGTTTTGGATGTAGACTGAGAAATTGTCCCATCCGCCTGAATAATAATCTTATCTCAGTCAACGTCAACTCATGGTTGAGGTGGGGCAAGAGTAATATAACAATGCGCACAACAGTAAATTTGGCATTTAAGACTCACAAGTAGCATCAAACAGTGATGTGTACTCTCAGAGATAAAGGATTCTGTCTGTTTGCCTTCTGTTCCTTGTTGTGCCTTTCCAAAGAATAACAAATCATACCCAGTATCCTGCTCTATTTTCTGTAGGTGTTTCAAAAATGAGACTTGAGGTGTTTAAGGGATCTCATAAAGCTCAAAAATTAAACATGGATCATCTAAAACAATGGGTCTTCCCATTGTTCCCATTTTTCTTCTGTTTCAAGCAACGTAAAAGGAACGTTTTGTGCTCCGCTATAAGGACCCATGTTTATATACATGCTTGTGTAAAGCAAAGTAAAAATTCCAAAGGAAAGCGAGCTGACTTCTTCCTTCCCAGCTCCACGCAGACAAAATGTTAGAAGGGCAAAAATAGCAATTGTGGTGCTTTATGCATTCTTGGGACATGGTCAGGAAACAATATAGAAACACATAAAAAATAGAATAGAATTAGAAACTAATGTGCAGAAATGTCTTGCTGCGATTTTGCTTCTCCCTAAATAATGCTATAAATAAATGAATTGGTGCAACTGACATTTCCCCCCAGTGACCTAGAAACTTTATTTGGAACAAGGCTTACAGGATATTTTATAACTTCTTTGGGATTTCTCTTTACTTTTTAGTAACTTGGCATATGAATTTCCGAGTGTAATATGGCACTACCATCAAAAAGAAGATCAAAATAGTGACTAGAATAAGTGAAAAGGAGATAGAACTAGCACAAATCTGTATGGAACAAAGAAGTTACATTTATTATCCAAAGTACATCTCCCATTGGGAGCTTGGGTAGCTATCATACAAATCGTGATGGAAGATGTCATCTAATGAAGGGCCATTGTTATGGGAAGCAGGTAGTCTCCATTTCAAATAAAAATCTAGGCACAATGATATTAGATTTTAGCATGCAAGGAGCCAAAGGAGCCCCGTCTGTTATTAGGCACTTAATCTCACTACCTGATGTGAAATTGTCTAATAGGAAAATCAGGTATGAATTTCTGTGGAAAAAATGCAAATTGTATACAAAGTTGTCTCTATGAGTCTTATGATTGGTGTTAGTGCTTAAAGGTTAAGTTCTGGTTTCAATGAAAAAGATCTTGTGGCTGTTCTTGGAGTCTGTGAGCTTTATTAAGTATATGAATATCAAATAACACCATACACTTGATTTATCTGATAGCAAGATATGTTTTCTTTGCCTCCCTTGGATCCTCAGACCTTGACTGAATCCCATCATCTGAGACAGGCATTTCTTTCTCTGTTGTTTCTGTGACATCTGAATGTAAATGTGAATGGGGAATCTGTCTTTGGAAGACATAAATGAGATTTGTTGTCTTTTAGTGGTCAGCTCTGGTATATATGCTCTTTTATGTATCTGCATAGTCTTACATAAGACAATGAATGAGAGTAAGTTTTACCTAGGGAGACAGATGAGAAATAAAGGATGAGTAGATCTCCTCATCCACATGTGAAATTCTAGCCCTATTTATAACAATGAGAGTTTTGCTACTGACTTCAGTAGGATCAGTTTTACCCCTACAGTGCAGTTCTGCTTTCCTTGAAGAACTAATGTATAAAATACAGCTTCTGCCAGCACATTACCAATGTATTAGCATAGAAAGAGAGTAGCACTGAATAACATCCATAACCAGTAATAGCTGCTGTGAGCATCCTGTTGAGCAGTGTACTAATGTTAATCACCAGCTTCCTGGGTTTAGTATATAGTATACTATATATAGTGTAATACTATTTTCTTCATACCTGGATGAGGCAGACTTAGTATGAGTTGGGGTTCTTTGTGGAACTGTGGTTAGTTTTTGTTTTGTTTTTTTTTCTTTTTTTTAAACTCATCAAAGGATGTCTGATGTGGTGTAGCTTCTTTGATTTTTGTTAATAAATCACACCATTTATAACTAAACAAGTTTTTGAAGCCCTTCAAGGCACAGTTTAATTTTTCAGCTCTTTTAGTCTGGTTCTGCCTAGCTCCTTGTTAGCTTCCCATCCTCAGGTCTTGCCTTTTGTAAAGCAGATATGATCATGCATGCATTTTTGTGAGGTGTCTCACACCTCATGGAGGAAGAAAAAAACCCTGTTGATTGTGATCACAGACTTCCCTGACCCTCTGCTCAGTAGGTAGTGTGCAGCAGACATTAGTAACATTATAGAGGCTCTTTGGCCAGTGTGTTGCCCATAAATCATGGGTTGAAGACCATTGCTCAGTATCTTCCAGGTCAGATTAATATACTTTTTCTGACAGGACTGTTTAGATGTCAGCTAGGAGAATCACTCCTTTATGTGTTTGTGTGAGACCGAATCCTGTAGATAAAATTATATTGCATAATAATTTCCTGCAGTTCTACAGAAACTTGTTAGAGTAGTCCAAAGTTTAATTCAGCATCTCCCTATGAAATTGGATCTCTACTTTGTATTTCTGATTGCTTCTCTCAGGTTGATGACCTGGAAGCAATCATTATTTTTCTGAATAGTGCCTTGGTGCTTCCTACTAAAGTAGTGGAGATCACCTTCTGCTGAACTTGTATGTATATGCAGCAATAGCAGCCACGATGGGTGTTTCAGTGCACTGCGTAAGATCTTTCAAGTTAAGGGGTCTCTGACGGATCAGTTAGTTTTTGTGTGCCTGCATTTGACTGCACAGTTTAAATCATCTGGCTCAGATCAAGTGGTAACTTATAGTTTCAAACTCAGCAGTGTCTGCTGCAGGGGGAATTCTTCTGTTCCTGTAAATGAGAAAACAACACTCATGCTAACGCTGGCCCTGGAATTTCTTTGTAATAATCCTTCCTGAGAAACTCGAGCTTTCTTCATTGCAAATACGAAAACGCTTGAAGGAGAATGTGCACATGACTGAGAACTTAAGAAGGAAAGAAAAGGAGTTTGTCTAATTACTTCCAAAATGTAGAAGTGAGAAAGAAGAATGTATATCAAAACAAAAAGAAGTGAACCAGAAGCGTGAGGTGACATAATGCTTTAAGATTCTGAAAGGAAACTGGAGATTTTACTCAAGGTTGGTCAAAGTTCTACATTGAGATAATAGAATACACCATCATGAGATACTCAGCTTGGTAATTTGAGAGCACTTCATTAACTCTTTTCATCCTAGTGTGCTTCAGACTGAGCATCTCCAATTTTGGCTTTTTATACTACATGCAATAGATTCATTTTTCCTTTCTTATAAAGGAAGAATGTAACTGTCTTCAGCAGTATACTCTGAAAAGCCTTATGGATTCAAGCTGTCCCTTAATCAGTGTTGTGGAGGATGCAATTTTGATCTTTTTCTCTAATGTATGAACTATGATACATCCTGACATACATCTGTCAGACCAGACTGAAAGCATGGAGTTGTAGACACTTATTACTAGAACTGGGCCAAGAAATTGGTTTCAATCTAAAAAGGGGGATAGAAATGTAACATAGATGGGAAACAGAGTACCTCAAAGTAAGGTCATAATGGAAGATTTAAACTGCACAATTGAACAGACAGTAACAAGAAATCCTTAAAATATGCTGCAGTATCTGCATACAGATACTGACTTTTACAAATGTGCAACAAATGTGGATTGTTTGTGAAAAGAAAAGCAATAGGTCAAGATGTAAAATAATGGAAAAAATCAACTCTGCAAAGATAAATATTTCTGTGGACAGTAACTGCTTTCTACTAAAACTGACAAGAATGATGATTCCAACCCTCTTTAATATTTACTGAAGAATTAGGAAGCTAATGGGAGAGTGCAGCAAAAATCCCCTCTTCTGCATTCTAGAGAAATAAGCAAGCCTAGCATTGCCAGGCCATACTGAAGAATACTCTGGTGTACTGAAAGCTACAGGTCTGCAGATCCACCTACTAAAAAGCACCAGCACTTGCTACTGAACAAAGCAGAGGCAAATATAAAATGAAAAATCCCACATCAACTGAAGGATGCCAATGAATTCTTTCTCATCTGAGTTTTTATGATTTTTAGTACTTTGATGAAATGCTGCTGTATGGCAGATTACAAGCAAGAGGTGGATGCATCTGGTTTGTTTTAAAGCCTCTTCCATTAGGGACAGGTAAGCATCACTGTCATCTTTTCATACTGTAGCACATTTTAATATCTTCTCTTATTCTTTGGGTTGGTTTCCATTTCCAGTCCTTAACTTATGACCTCTTTTTGATTTAGACTTTGATTACACTCCAGAAGAGAGAATTCACTTGAACTACAAAATCCATTTGTTATGGTACTAATAAAAATTGTGCCTACTGAAAACTGCAGTGGAAGAGAAAGGGAGGAAGCCTAACAGGCTTGACACCACCTTTTGTCTGTATTGTAGCAAGGGAAGAGGGAAAGATATCCAGGAATTGTCTTATCATCATATCATATACATGAGCATTTTTGTTTTTCTAATCTCTTTGATTTTTCAATGCTTCTCTTAACCCTTTCTTCTTGAAGCAAGGAAGGAAAATGATATTACAAGTACTCAATTTTTTTCTTTCTCAAGAGCAGCTAGTGTCCCTTGTGTTGAGAAGGAATTGGGACCATGTGGAAAGCTAGATTTCAACTGAGGGCAGTTTGTGGGGTTTTGCCTATAACTAAGGTTTAGCTGAGTTGCAGCTGAAGTATAGTTTAGCAGAGTGCAGATTCTGCATTTTCCTACACTCATGTATTGCTTTCTTACCTCTCCTAATTTTCTGCTTTTCCTTTCCTTCTCTGAAGGCGCCAAATGGAAAGCTGTATAATCTTTTTGAATATATTCTATGATTCTTGCTGATGAATTAGATGAACAGCTGCTTGGAACAGCCTGGGAATACAATTTGGTGAAAAAAAAGAGATGAGATACAAACAGATTCCCTTATGATGCCATTCATTCCATATGCAATATTATCCCAGAGGGGTGGAAACATGGCAAGACCTAAAATTCAATTTGAATTTGAGCTGGTTTTTAAAGAAGCAATTCTACATACACTGCACCCACAAAACCATGTGCAAATTGGCACACACTTTCTCTTTTTTTGTAAGAACAGCCTCGTTGGTTGTATGCATTTTTCTCTCTGTGCGGAAGAACTTTTACAGGGACAACTATTGTAATTTCTTTTCACTATTTCCCAAAGTTATGCTAATTCTTACATTATTTGATTCTCATCATTTCTGTGTGCTTTAAGCAAGGTGTGAAGGAAAAAAATGGCTCACATTTTGGCATACAAGACAATCAAAAATCCATTCCAGTAAATGAAAAGGAACTCATTGATATGTGTCAGTGTTCCTGTAATATCCTCCTGATCACATTCTGCATTGTAATTTTGTGTTAAGACTGGAAATTAAAGCTGATCTACTTCTCAGTTGCCTTATGAATGTTGTACACCAACTGAGCAATGGGCATTTTGTTTTCTTGTCTTGCTGCTTCAGTAAACTCCTTCCCAAGTTCTCTTCAGCTAGCAGCCTCTTGGGAAACACACACAGTATTAAACATGCCTGTCTATAGAGATGGGAGAGACAAAGAATTACACTGATCTTGGATAAATTATCATTTAGTTCTGATCATTCACACTACTTTAGAAAGGTTGATGAGATTTTTTCGATGGGAATCTTGCATCAGTACAGGTTGGGGCTGCCCTGCTGGAGAGGAGCTCTGCAGAAGAGAACCTGGGGGTCCTGGTGAACAACAGGTTGGCTGTGAGGCAGCAGTGTGCCGTTGTGGCCAAGAAGGCCAATGGTATCCTGGGGTGCATTAAAAAGAGCATGGCAGTAGGTCAAGGGATGTTATCTTGCGCCCCCCCCCCCCCTACTCTGCCCTGGTGAGGCCACATTTAGACTACTGTGTTCAATTCTGTGTTTGATGGTTCAAAAAAGAGAGGAATCTCCTAGGAGTCCAGCAGAGGGCCACAAAGATGATGAAGGGCCTGGAACATCTCCCATATGAGGAAACACTGAGTACCCTGGATCTGTTTCTGTCTGGGGAAAAAAAAGACTGAGAGTGAATCTGATAAATGTTTATAAATATCTGAAGGGAGATGGGAGGCAAATAGACGAGGCCCGGCTCTTCTCAGTGATGTGTAGCAATAGGACAAGGAGTAATGCCCTAAAACTTGAGCAGTGGAATTTCTGTAGTAATGTGCAGAAGAACTTCTGTACAGTAAGGGTGATGGAGCACTGGAACAGGTTGCCCAGAGGGGTTGTGGAGTCTCCATCTGTGGAGATACTCAAGACCCAGCTGGACATATCTACTGGTGTGGCCAATTGTACATGAGAGGCCTTCTTGGTAGTTACGTAAAAGTGGAGAAAGTAAGTCTATATTTTTAAATTAACTCTTAGGAATCATCTCATAGCTTAATATTAGTCCTGAAGGCTGCAACACAGATGTTTCTGTTTCTTTAAAATGGATTGTGTTAGCTCTGGGGATGAAAACATCATCAGCTCAACTGTAACTATAGCTAGATACTTTGTGCTTCTGTGCACGTGCATAGCTTGATATTATCTGTGTACCGGTAACAGTGATACCTAAGGCTACCATGGATAAACACTGAAGGTTTCTGATGACAGCATCTTCAGCAGAGGAGAAAAGCTCTAGTGTGGTTTGTGATACCATCATAACCTGAGGTGCTGACAGAGCTCCATTCACAGTTTCCCTGTGAGTTGCTTTTCTCAATTTCATGTACCATTTTTGTTTCTTGTTGAAATTCATAGATATTTCTTTTCTCTTTAAATAAACCCAGACTAAAATTAAGAATTAAAGTCAAAGTACCTTTTATTACTCTTATTATTTTACAAGAATTCAAAATCTCCGTTGGACATCTTAAAGTTTATAAAATGAGTATTTTGGACAATAGAACTGTATTTTAAGAAGTACTGTAATTAATCAAGAATAATATTTACTTAGTTACATTCAACACAACACTGATATTCTGCCATGTATTTGATCATATCTCTCAACATGACAAATAAATCTATCAGCATTATTAAAAAAGTGTTATAAAAGAATATCAAGTACTGAATTAAGCCTTTGTGATGGGATAGACATGGAGGCTGGCTGAAAAACATAAACAGTGTTTGCCATTATAAGAAAGTGGATTGTGTTTTTCTGTTTATATTTGGTTTTGGGGTTGTTTTTTGTTTTGTCATGTTCATGTTTTCAAGTTGCTAAAATGAACCGCCTTTATTTTTTTCATTATCCTAATAATTTCTTGTTTTACTGAGAGGTTTTAGAGAGAGACTATTTTACAAAGGCCTTGGCTGCAGTTATACTGCCCAACATATTGCAGTCAAGATAAAGGAAACAGATTCTATACTACTGAAATCATTGCAGGAAAAAAAAGAAAAAGAAAAAAAGCAAAGAAAGAAAAAGAAAGAAAGAAAAAGAAAGAAAGAAAAAGAAAGAAAGAAAAAGAAAGAAAGAAAAAGAAAGAAAGAAAAAGAAAGAAAGAAAAAGAAAGAAAGAAAAAGAAAGAAAGAAAAA